AAAACACACACACCGGCAAATGAAGAAATGGTGAAAACCGACATTTTTGTGTTTGGCCGAATAAATGAAGCCGAATTGCCTATTGCTCGATATTAGATCGTCATTTCTCTGCCATTGCCGGCGCCGCTGCCGTCACCGCCGTTGCTCGATATATTCGACCGACACTCTTTATGCACATAATAAATTATACACCGAAATATTTCATTGTTTCGACGACGTTAAACGAATAACACAGAGCAACGAAGAAAAAAAAATGAAAGAAATTCGATTTCATTGTGAAATTGTTGTGAGTGCGTTGGTTGATGTTCACCTGTCTGTTGCTGCTGCTGCTTTGGTGAGCGCGCGCGCACACACATTTCATATATTCGAGCTTCCAAAAAAAAGAAAGAAACTAAATTATGAACGTGTGATACACAAATAAATATAGCTTCCATCTCTCTCTCTCTCTCTCTCGCTCTCTGTCCCAGACCGACCAGCCCAAACACATACTTTATTTTTAGTTTGATTGAGAAAGCTATACATATTTTTGAACACATTATCGGTTTATATCCGGTTTTATAATATATATTTTTGGTATGGAGGCTCTTTTCTGAGCTGCGTACTTTTCGCCTGAATTATTCGCATTACTTGCATTCTTTTTTCCACATCAGAGTATTGTATTCAATGAAAAATAAAAGAAATAACAACATCAATTCGAACTTCAATGTGAACCGAATCTCTTTCTTCGGCTTTATTGGGATAGATATGTGTAATTTTTTTGTTGCTACTTTTCTTCAACTATTAATTATTATCCATTTCGTGTTCGTGTGTGTGTTTACCTTTTTCGGCGCGTGTTTTGTTTCATTTTCATTTTGTTTTCGAGGCTGTTGCGTATTGCCAGACGCCATGCCGCTCCATTTTCCGCCTGCTATTTAGTAATGTAGGATTAAATGAATTCATAATTGTTCACATACACACACACACACACACAACCACATTCTACTTTCAATTTTCACTAGATTTATTAGCGCCTTTATTTAATTTTTTTCTTGCACAATATCTCACCCAGGGAAAGAAAGAAAAAAAAAGGTATTGCGCGCAACCATTTTTTTGTTTCTTTTCAAATTGTTATACACATTTTGTGTTCGGTGTGTGTGTATGTCTGTGTGTGTGCATTGATTTGATTCACGGTGCACATACTGTTTTCGCCGATCTCCTTCTAGTCAGAATCACAATGCTCACAAAATTGACGGTTGCATTTTGGTTCCGCAATGGAATTATTTCATCGGCTCGTGGGCATGAAATTGCCGTTGCCATTTCAATTTGCAATGAAAATGAAATTTTTTTTTTCTTTCTTCTTGGCTCCAGTTCGGTTTTCCGCTTTGAATATCCAATCTAATAGCTACAGTATGGTCTCTTTGTTTCTCATTGTAATCCAGAGTCAAAGCTTATTTCTTCTAAAATTGAGATTTTTTTTTTCGCTAAATTTCAAGTTCCTTCTTTTTTTTTGCATGCGGCAATTTCATGCTCAAGCGCCTGAGTAAGAAACGATTCTTCTGTTTGTGGCTTTGAAATAGTCGGTTCGAGTTGTTCAAATACCAAGATGAAGCCGAACAGTTTTCAGTGAAAATAAATCTGTTTTCAATTTCTTCCGTCTTGAAACATATAATGTGAAGCCCAAAAATGATGCCCAAGTCGAAATGAATCACAGCTGATTTAGGGGTCTAGCAAAAGGTTATGGTCGAAATGAAAGCGTATAATTTGTTGAATGCAACGAAGATTTGTGTTTCAAAGTTTCTCTCTCTGTGCCCATTTTGTCCAAAGCAAAAAAAAAAAAGGCGTCGAACCAAATGAACAGAACAATTGTTATGAACAATGATTAATCTGCTTTGGGGATGCGCGAAATTCTATTTTTACAAAGTTCAAACACCAAAGAATCAATTTGGTCGTAGTTTTTCCATTTTTTTCATCACTATTATTATTGTGGCTGTCTTCTTCTTCTTCTTCTTCTTCTTTTTCACGAGCCGCTTAGGCCAGCCGTTTTGTTTTATTGCGTTGAATGTATTTTGCAAGTAGATTTCGAGATTACGAGATACATACACACGAAGAAGAAGAAGAAGAAGAAGAAGAAATAAAGAGACCATGGAGGGAATGATGAAAAAAAAAGAGCGATGCCGACAACTTACGTTACATGTTTTGCATTAGCAAACCGAATGAGATTGAAAGGTCTAATTGCTTTAACGAAATTATAATATATATTTAATGAAATTTTTCTAATGAAAGAAAAAGTGAATTGATTATTACCTATATGCGAAGTGGATGATGTACAAAAACTTCAATTCCGAAGCCATCTACATAAATATGGCCGTTTAATAATCACGTTATGAGTGGTGATGCGTCGTTTATGAGTGTTCGTGTTGCCGTGTTGTGTGCCTTTTGTGAGTTCGATGATTTAAGCGAAAGTCAACGCTTATCTCATTGCCAATAACAATGGAAATTGTAGGCACACACAAAACAAGACAAAACAAAAAAAAAAAAACTCAGCAGCGCTACAATGTGTTGTGCATTGTTATTCATTTTGTTAACATAGACTGGCTGATAAAACAGAAAAACCATATGATTTTCAATGTGTGAGTGCACGAATGAAAAAAACAATAATTACCAGTTCGATTTGAGCGTTGATTCGACATTCTGAGCCGGTATCGCTGAGAATTCAGGCTCAATATCATGAGTTATGTTTCATGTTTTTCGCTTCTCTCTTTCAATAAATCATATAATTATCCGATATTGAATGGCGAAAGTCAATGCAATAATAATCGATGTAAACAATTTACACCGCGTCGTGTTTGAAATTATGTCAAAAAATATTTAAAACATGTCGAAAAAACATACATACCGAGTGGAAAGCGTATTGACAGGCAACAGTGAAGAAAGGGCTTTGTGAATTGGTTGAGCAAGACACTGAAAAATCACCAATGTCATTTAGACGCAAGAGATTTATTTTTTTCTGCTGTTTCTGCTGTCATTTACACACACCGTTCATTGACTCACTACATACAATAAAATAAGTGGAAACCGCAAAAATGTCTCTATTATTTAATAAATCTGTTTACCTAAACCGTATGCAGTTTATTTATTTTTTTTTTTCTCGTTCGCTTCGTTTTAATTTGGGAAAACACCTTCTCTCTAGAGGTGTTTGCACACAAACAACCACAATTTACTCAATCAAAACGCCACAAATCACGATCTGCACACCAGATAAAAGTGTCTGTCTGACAGCTTTAGTTCCCGATTTGTCTTCTTTAATCGCCATAAGACATGATTTACTCCCTTATACTACGTAGACGTCTTTGTGTGAGAGATAGAGAAAGATGGACACACAGAGGGAGAGAGAGAGAGAGAGAGAGAGAGATTGGGCAAGAGAGTCGTGCAGTTGATTTGAAAGGGGTCGCATAACGACTGCTCAATTATGCATTCAATTGCATTGTTTCGAGGTATCGCCGCATTGGAATTGTTGTTGCTGTTTTTTTCTTCAACAAAATCGTTCGACAAATGCAAACTTATGAGTTTTCCTGTCCATTGGAATGGTGCTTACACACATGGGACGTCGGAAATTATTTAGAATTAAGTCGAAAACAGTTATCGTTAATCTTTGCCGAAGCCAACTTAAGTGAACAAAAGGAATAAAGCTGTTGAAATACCAAACCAAACTGATTTTCGAACAATAAAATCCAACAAGAGAAAATTAAATGGAATAGGCCTCAAAACAATCGATCGATTGGTACAAGAAAAACTGGAATGTACACGTGAACACACCAACTGATCAATTGCAAAAACAAAGAGAGAGAGAAAAACGCCTTTTGTCAGTCAATTTGTGTGCGTAATTTACCTGGTTCGACCAATTAAGCGAGAAAAACGCCCGAAAAAAGTGTGTGCTCGCATTCGGTGTAATATTTTTTAACCGCTTCATTTCCGGCGCTTGCTTTTCAATCGCACACAATTCTAATGCGTGGCCCAAATCAAGCGCTTAGAATTCGGAGGCGAGAGATAGAGAGCGAGTGAATTGTGTGTAAATCAACATCATTTTTTTTTTTCACATTTCGTTGTGACTCATTTCTTTTCGGCTTGCCGGTGGTCTTGTTTAGAATGAATGATCTTGGTTTTTGTTTCTGCTGCTCATTCTTTTCACGCAGTTACATTGTTACTTCATTATTTTCTGTACTTCCCAGATTCACTACGATAAGAAAGTAACGAATGAATGGTGAAAAAAAAGATATAGAAAATACGGCGGAAAAGTGAGTAAACCCAGCCAAATTATGAAACATGATCTGTAAACATCGACATAATAACTCAATCTGACAGCAAACCACACTCCGTGTCACACACACACACACACACACACACTGATTGACTTATCGTTGATTTGAAGAAGCAATTAGAAAACGGCTTGGTTCTTTTTCATGACTCGAGATATTTGTGTTTGTTTTTTCGCTATTCGTGCGTTTTTTCCTTTTTCTTCTTCAACATCATCGGCGTTCATCTAGATTTCAATTAGAAGAGGAAACAGAAAACAATACATGATCATAGACTATGATCCATAGTATAGCGTGTCAATTGCGGCTGACTGTTTCTTCTTTTTCTCGTTTCCATTTCTACATATGACCCACAATTTTTGCAATGGCTTTGCCTTTTTTTTGGATTCCCCACAAAAATGTGAGCGAAAAAAAAATTACACTCGAATTATGTCAGTGAAATTTTTTGTTTGGCCAGAAAAATAAAAAACCAAGCCATAATAAATAAATGACTGGCATAACACAATTTTTGTTCGTCGCTGTTGCTGCTGCTTGTTGCTAAGAACTTGTTCCGTTACCACATTCCAAACATACTTAGGTCACTTTCCGACTCATATTTTTTGATTACATAGTTTAGATAAACAATTTGGACAAATTTAAAACTGGTTTTATGCAATTTTTTCGTTTTACGATTAATAATTTAAAATTTATTGTTTCTTTCCATTGCAGAACACAACAAAGACCTTCAGCCAACGCCATCACTTGACTCAAATAAAGCAGGTATGTGATTCGTGGCTTAAATCAACCACTTTCTCTTCATTTGGAAAATAGAAAAGAATAAAACAAAAAAAAAAACATTAAAAGAATTCTATGTAACAATTATTTCTTATCTAATTAGAACAATTTTTGTCTTGAAAAAATGATGACTATGTCTAAAATGAAAACTTGTACAGCATTTTCTATTCTTCTTGAACAAATGATGATGTCTTATGTAAATTATTTTGCAAATTTTCGTTGCTTTTTGTGTTCATTTCTCTCTGTATGAGCTTTCCTCTGTTCTTAATTAATGATCTGTCTTAAGAATTGGAAGAAAAAAAGATTCAATGACATCAAATTTTCTAAAATATTATCCTATTTTTTCCTATGTTTGGTAACAAGTTCCAAATTTTTCAGCATTTTTTCCTTTATTTCTTTGTAATTTCTGTCATTTTTCGCTAATCTCTTTCAATTTTCTTCCATTGTATTTTCGTTTCCAATTTTCGACCCAAATTTTAAGTTGTTTATAGCATTAAGTGTATCTTTTTTGTTTACTTAATCGATTCTTTATTTCTCTTTCTCTCTCTCTTTCCTCCTCTCACAAACAAAAACAAAAACAATTACCAACAAAAACGAATGCACATTTTGTACATATATTTTATATACATAAAAACAAAAACTGTTTAGATATAACAACAATATTGTTAGTGGATAATAATAATCGGGCGGCACATGGACGTTTTCTCAACGTAAAACCGGAAGTTGGTCTGCTCACATCAACCGCACGCACGTTCATCCAAGACGGCGTGACAACTGAATATGTGACCCAAGTACTTGGTAAAACTATTGACAATGGACGACTGTACGCACAATTATTGACGAAAAGCTCACGCGTCGTGTACAGTAACAGTAATAACAATGAGATTGACGCATCTGCCGCTGCAACGGCCACATCAACGATTGCATTCAATCAAATTGTGCCGACCCAAGTGGTTGGTGCCGTTAAATACGCAGACAATACATTGACCATTGGAACCAACGACGACAACGACAAACAACAACAACAACAACAACAAACGACCAATACGAAAAAAACGGACGATGACAATTTGGTGACTTTTATCAAAAATACCGATTATATATCGCCAAATAATCCGAGCAAAGTGTACAATGTTCATACGGTTGCGGTAAATTCGGTGAATTTTGGGTCTGGCGAAGATATTGAATTTGAATTGTTACCGCAAAGTGCGGCACAAGTGCGTATTGTGCCGGTCGAAGAAAAGGCCGAAGTTCGGCAATCGTTTAGTGTTTCAGAGAGTAGCAGTAGCAGTAGCACTGGCAACGGTGGAAGTGCAAAAAATGTTGAGCTTAAGATACAACTTAGTCCCGAAAAAGTGAAATCAAATGTGGAATTGCCAACATTCACCATCCCAAGTGGTTATTCATTTGAGGGTATTGATTCGTATACAAGTTCCGAAAATACAGCGGATAGCAGCGAAGAACGTGATGGATTCTCTGGTAGTCCACAAGCAGTTGATGTACAACAAAATCGTGTTGGCAAACAATTGACATCGATTAGTATTCCAATCGCCGGTTTCTCCGAAGAAGAAAAGCAATTGCAGTCGGTGACATATTATGGATTTGCCGATTTTACCACCATTGTTGGCAACACTGTTATTGTTTTCTCGCCAAATACTGCACCTCCCAGCACCGGCAAAGTGACTTCGATTAAAGGAGAAGCTACGCTTCGTGCACGTGTCGAAGCCACACCAACCGTTAAACAACATCAAAGCATTGCCCAAACGAAACTTTTGACTTTGAATGCTATCGAAGATCATAATCGCAAGAGTAAGGCTGAAACAACAACTACTACAACGACAACGACAACTACAACGGAAGCAACCACCACCACCACTGAATCGCAAGAAGATGAAGATGAAGACGAAGATGTTCAAACAGTAAAGATACCAGTATCAATTGATATCAGTACCGAAACGGCGGAGGAACAAAGTGTCGAAGAATTAGAACAAAAATCATTGATTTTGGCCAAGGAACAAAATTCACTCAAATACAAACTGTCACCAAGTGTGATCGAAGCAAGCGAAGTGCAAGTGTCAACTGAAGAAGTGGCTCAAACACCAAGTGTTCAAATTGTTGCCGCTACAACCGCTAGCAAGGCTCCAGTTATGCTTTCGATTCCATCCGATGAAGATATCGCTAAAATATTCGCTTCGTTGGCAGCCCAAGATAAATCATCGGAAAGCAGTAGTCAAGAGGTTGCACACGAACAACCCGCTGAAACTCTGACCGGAGCCACGACCATTTTCTTCGAAGACGATCCATTCTTACTAATTTCATCGACGCAAGACATTAAACCGAGCACAATTGTTGTGTCGGCAGTCAGTGAATCGGCCGAAACAACCACTGAAAATGATGTAAATGTACTGACCACAACGGAAGATTTACCAGAACCAACCACAACCGCACCAATTCAAACCACCAAAAGCGAAAGTGAAGAAGAAACCGACGATGAGGAAAGAGAAAAACTTGAATCCACCACCACCGACTCGGCCGAGCAATCGGAGGAAAAGCCGGAATGTGGCATTGGATACACATTGAAACCATCGACTGTTTATAAAACGTTGACATATTTGACGACATTCTTCATTCCGGATGATGATGACGATGAGTCAACCACAACTTCGGTTCAATCGAATGAAGTTGTCGAAACCGATGTCGCGTGGGAATGCACAAAAGCCGTGAAAGAAGAAATCAAACCGACAACCGTTCAATCGGTTGAAAAGACAAAAACAATTGAACCACCGATCAGGCTTAGCGTTAAGGAGCGAAATAAGTTGTTCAATCGTTTTAGGGACAACTATCCAGCTCAAACCACAACTACCGAGGAAGCACCAACAACCACCGAAAATGCGAGCGAAGCTGAACAAATCGATGAAAACGGTGGAAATGTTGCGACCACAGAAAATGTTGAAGGCAACACCATTGAAGCGGTCACATCGTCAGTATCGTCTTCAACCACCACCGAATCGACAAATGACTCGGAAGAAGAAGAAATTGAACTCATCTACAAAACACTCTTTACAACGTACACATATTTGACCACTTTCTTCCATGGATACACGAGCAGTGTTTCGAGTCGCAAGGAAGTCGTTACCAATATCGTGACATCAACTTTGGATATGTCAATGATCAAGTCCGATGCAGCATTGGCCGATTTGGTTGCCAGCATGTCTGATAAAACAGAACGCATTGAACCAACGAAGACGGTTGGCGATGGAGCAAAGACAACGGCCAGTGCACGCAAAGAGCAACCCATTAGCATTGAAGATGTTTTCGATGACAGTGTGGTTGAAAGTTTGAATCAAGCCACACCGATTCTGAGCGATTCGGCCATTGAAGCCTCAAAAGTCGAAGGCTCACTGAAGACATTCTACACCACGTACACTTATTATACGACAATCTTTGCGGATGGTGAAACGGAAATCGCGTCCAGAACAGAAGTGTACACGAATTTCGTTGGACAATCAGTGAAACCGACGAAATTGATTGAAGAGGATAGACTTTTCTCAACGAAACTGGTGGCCAATGAAAAATTGAACGAAGTTGACGAACAAAAAGAAGACCAAAGCACTGAAGCATCGGAAGAAGAGGAAAATGATTTGGATAATCATGTGATTCAGCCAAGCTACAGCACAATGGTTCGATCGTTGAAAAGCTCTGGCAAATCGGAGGCAGTTACAACTACACAAACTAACGACAGTGAAAATGGCAATACAACCACTGAACCATCGCGCGAAAAACATGACAAAGACGAAGATATCGTAGATGAAGAGGCCGAAGAAACCACAATTGCTGTTAGTAAATACAATTCGACGGGCAAAACGATCAAAATCCCCGATACAAAACGAGTGGTCGAAAGTATTCGCAAGCAATTGAACAATATTTTGGAGGATCAAATCAGTTCGGAAAGTCAAAATGAAGAGATTTTGCCATCATCCACACTGCTGTTGCAAACAAGCTACACAACATTCACATACTTTACCACTTCGTATGCCGGTGATACAAGTCAAATTCTATCGCGATTGGAAACAATTACAAATGTGGTCACCGAAACGCTTCAACCGACTCAAACGATCATAATTCCACCGGCTGCACTTGCCGATGAACCAGTATTGCCAACGACATATTTCACCACATTCACCTACTGGACGACACTATTCAAAGAAGGCGAAGTGCTTACCACATCAAATACAAAGATTGTTTCGAATGTTGTGTCACCAACTGCTTCAACATTGGCCATCGAAGAAATATTCCCCACGGCACGTGTGAAACCCAATGTAGATGCACCACCAACAATTGTTGTTGCTGCCCCATCACCATCAATTGTTGAAGCTTCGCCCATTGAAAGTGATACAGAGACGGAAACCAAGAAAATTCAAGCTAAAAATGTGGTCGAAGCTTCGGTTGTGATACCAACACCCGTACAAGAGCCAACGACTTATTTCACAACATACACATACTACACCACATCATATGTTGGCGACGATACCATTCTCAATAGTCGCTTCGAAACGGTTACAAATGTTGTTACTCCAACGCTTGAATCGACAGCTATGATAACACCAGTTGGCCGTGCCATCAATTTGGATAATGTGAATTTGAATCAAATTTCCGATGGAAAGAGCGAAAAGAAATTGACAAAAGAAAAATTGTCCGAACGACCGGAAAGACCAAAGGAAAGTGTTGTATCGATTAATGCCGGTAAAATTGTGGATGCTGAAGGTATTTCCACCATTTTCTATACAACAAAAGCCATTGGCACCTACGTCGATGATATGTACACTCAAACCACCGAAAAGACTTCGTCGGTTCGGGTTGATGAAGCCAAAAAGAGTTCAATTTTGGAGGCAACACCAAATTACGCCGATAACAAGCACAAAACGGGCCTGGTTCGTTTGATTAATGGCAAAATTGTGGCCAATCAAACGACAACTTTGTATCAATCGAAAGTGATCGGAACGATTATCGACAATCGTTATGCCCAAATCATCGAAAGTACATCAAGTTATATTATTGATAAGACACAAGTAGCCAGCATCGCACCAACCGCCACCACCACATCCATTAAGCCAACGGAAACAGTGATTAGTCCAACACCGGCTGCCGTTGAAAGTTCATTGAGTGATTCGCACACCGATGCCGGTCAAACGGAAGGCGAAGAGGATGAAAATGATGAACAAGGTGAAGAAGAAGAAGAAGAAGTCGATGAAAATGGACGCAAAAAATCTCGATTAACATTTGCCACAAAGAAAAAGACATTTACACCGGTCATTCGGCCATTCGCTTCAAGAAATCGTCCAACATTTGCACCGAAACGAAAGAATTTACTTGCCAGCAGTGCAACAATCATCACACAAAGTGACTTTACGCCAACGATTCGTGCCACGCCAGCAATTGGTAAGCAAGAAACAACAAGCACACGACGATTTAGTGGTGGTGCACGGCGAACAAGCAACGCTCCGTTCATACCAGGTGTATCGTCCACTGCATCAGCAGCATCTGCAAGTGGATCGAAACGATTTTCACGCTTGAGAACGAGTTCGGTGAGCCCAAGTGGACCATCATCGGCTGTACCAAGCGGAAGTGCACGCGCCATTCGTCCATCATCCGTTCGACCATCTTCGCAAACGTCGGGCGTGCTGGGTAGCTCCCGAAGAGTCGGAAATTTATTCCGATCAAGCGCATTGCCCGGAAATCGGTTGAGCATTTCGCCAAGTTCAGTGCGATTCCGTACGAATCCAACACTATCGCCATCATTGCGTGATGCCACCACAACAAAGGCACCCGAACAAGAAGAAGCAACCACCGAGCCCATTGAATCGAATCCAGAAGAAGCGGAAGTTGATGAGGACAAAGAGGATGAAGAAGTAGTAAGCACAACTACGGAAAATGCACGTCGCAATCAAAATCCATTGTTGCGATTCCGTAGACCGTTAACATCGGGAGCGAGTCGTTTCCAACCGACTAGCACGCCACGTGCGGCTCAAGTCTCTGTTTCTACTCGAAAATCACCCTTGCAACGAGCACGAGCCACTCAAACAACAACCACAACGAGTACAACACCCAAGCCAAAACAACGATCATTCCAGAAACCAGCCGGTTTGGCCACGCTCACCAATCGACCACGCACCTCGTCCAATGGATTGTTTCCACCACGTTCGCTGTTCAAGACCACCACTGAAGCGAACCAAGAGGAAATCAACGACGTAGCCAACGAAGCAAATAACGAAGAACAAGCCAATGAGGAGGAGAATGGTGAAATTGTCGAGGGTGCCGAAGATACGGTCGATCCAGAGTATGACGGTCGTAATAGACGTGATAACAAAGTCGCATTCACTCCACAATTCGCTTTGAGGAGTCGCAAACGAACAAAGCGTCAAATTGACTATGGAACCCGGACTCTTTCACGTTATCGTCAACCAGCAACGCGCAGTGCACCGCAACCACAAATTGCAGCTCGCGCTAGCAATGATGATGTCTACTATGATGATGTTGAAGTACCAACACAACGACCAAAAACCCAAAACACACGTTACACATCCAGATATCGGCCGACAAACAACGCCGATGCACATGAATTTCTACAAAATGTAAATACCCAATCGTCGAATGCAAACTCACGAATTCGTCCAACAAAAACGGCGGCCAAACCAAGTCGAGCTCAATTCACATTGCGCAGCGGCAGTGAAAAGGAAGTTTCAAACAATCATGCACCGGCAATTAGTCGATCATCGAATTTTCGCCGTACACAAAACATAGGCGCTAATTCGAATGGATATGTGCCACAATCATCGGCCCGACGAAAGCCATTGCCAACATCCTCATCGCGAGCAAAAACACCGAGATTGAGAAATTACGGCAATAGCTATACGAGTGATTCGCGCAGCGGACGTGGACGAACGACTGGTACATCAAATGCTCGAACACCATCACGTGGATCGACTCGTACCCGCGGTAGAGTTGCTAACGATGCAATCGACTATGAGTATATTCCAAACTTTGACGGAACAATCACTGTAACTCATCACATTCCAACTGAAGTGACCATTCCCGTTGTTAATGGCGGGAATACGGACTATAAAAACGTTATCACCGATAAAGTGAGCATCGAAGTACTTGGACCACAACAATACAGCACCACAGCACGTGCTCACAACGGGCTTACATTGGTTTTGAGCAGCGAAGCAACAAATATCGTCAAAGGAGCCACTGAAATCACGCAATTCTTCTTGAAAGAAACACCAACGACATCAGTTACCTTTACGCCAACGCAAATTAACCGCCGCAAAACATCATACTCACACATTATACCAAGCACCGTGTACAATGTTGAACCGGTCGTTTCGACCATTCAACCACAAATTTCGGCCGATGCACCACTTGCCAATATTTTGCTGTCACAACTTTTGCTTGGCAATCTGGGCGGTGCACAGCAGCTTTTACCGCAACAGCAACTCTTGGGATTGGGCGGACAATTGCCATTCAATCCAATTCAAACGACCCAATTGGCTCCAGTTACCGAATACAAGACACGAAGCACGACCTATGTTACAACTTTATCAAATGCCGAACCAACCATTCTAACGGTTACGTTCCGTGGTAAAGAAATTATGACCACCATTTTCGATGATAATGTTAATGTGATAACAGCTACGGAATTCATAACGGACACAATTGTTACGACGCCAACGCAACAAACTGTGCAACCAACACAAAATATCAACAATATTCTGTTGCAACAGCTGTTGGCGCAGCAAAATCAAAATCCACTGTTGCAATCGCAACAGCAAAATCCATTGAACATTTTGATGATGAATGCCGGCAATGCGGCTGATTTGGACAAATCACAAAGCTTACTGCAAGATTCATTGTTGACGTTGGGCAAACAAACGCCACAAGAATCGTTCGATGACAAGAGAAACAATAAAAAACTTGACATTGACGAGCCGATTGAAGAGGATTATCCCGACTTGGAATCGTATGAAAATGAACATCATGAACAAAAAACGGAAAAACGACCACCGCCCGCATTCCTTCAAAATAAACTGAAGAAATTGTCCAAACCAACACCACTTGAGACTAGCATCATCACATTGTATGTGAGTGGTCGCAAACCGGGTGAATTCAGTACGGTATTGTCAACGGTGATCACAACACCCGATGCATTGCTTCAGAAACGAGCCATTGACGATCAGGTGATTGTAAAAGCATCACAGCTGCCTGATTTCAATGATGTATACAATGCTGAAGGTAGTAACATTGATGAAATTTATTTGCCAGCCGCATCGACCACCAACGAATTGAATTTGATTGAGTCTAGTCAGAATGGTGTTGAATATGGATTGCCGGCCGAAACGCAAAGCCTTGAAAGTATTCTAGGCGATGTCAGCAACTATGTGACGAAGTCTTTTTTATTGTAAGCGACCGTGATGAAAACGTCCCACTCATCACTTCAAAGGTCGTCACCAATGCAGTCGAAGAGTCAGCAAGGGGCAACCAACAAGAAGAAGAAGAAGAAGTAGAAGAAGAAAACCAACCAGAAAAATCGAAAGCATCGCTGAACAGAAACAAACGCGACGCATCCAATGACGATGAATTGCCAGTAAATCAATTGAGTTCAGTGGCGCAACGACAACGCAAAATTAAAAAATTCATTAGGAAAATAGGAAACAATCCAAATAATACTCTTAGTAGTGAAGCAAATGATAAATTAAACCTTAAACGTAGTAGCAGTAATAACGAAAATACTCAAGATGAAATTAACAATGAATCGAGTGAGCAGAGTGCAGTCACTCCAGCAGCAGCTCAGATTCGGCCGAGCAAACGACGAATTATCGTACCAATTCGACGAACTCGATTCACACCGTCACCATCACCAACGTCGTCAACACCGTCGTCGCCGTCGCCGTCGCCACCACCACGAAAACAACAACCGGCATCATCGACCCAACCAACATCAAACGATTCAAGCAACGAATCCATCAACAATCGACACACACTTTCAACGGAACAAAAGAAAAAATTATTCGTAAAACGTCGTCGCATCACACCAAAGCCATTTATCGCACTTGAACCCTCCATCATCGAAGCATCTTCATCATTATTATCATCCCTGACGCCGTCATTGATTGTGGAAACTACTCCTGACATTTCGATTGAGTTTAAAACTCGCCTAAACACTGAACAACGAACATTTACATACCTTGTTACACGCGTACATGACAAACAATCGGAAACTATTTCATCGACATTTGTACGCGATAAAATCAGAACGCTTATCGACACAATAACGCATACCATTCAACCAACTCGAACACAACAAATTATACGCACTTCAAATGTCTAAAGACAGAGAAGTAATGCACTTTTGATGCAATGAACAAACAATTCAAATCGCCACACAATTTATGACCACAAAACAGTCGAATTTTACATATAAAAACCATGAAAAACCGACTATGTTTAATTGACACACACATAAAACAAAACGAGAAAAACCGAAACGATTTAAGAAGAAACGATGACCATGCGAGACACCTTTTGTAATATATATTGACACCTCTGGACATGAAACAAGCAGCTATACCATCATCAACCCGGTTTCCTTTTTGCGGTGTGTTTGCGTGTGTGAATCGTGGGTTTATCAGAGCCAATTTTTTTTTTTTAACCAATATCTCAACCCGCCTTCTACTATCTACTCTACAATATATCGATACACACACACATATTTTGTACAGTTTTTATTTTGGTTTAAAAACTTAAAACGAACCAAACTCAATCATCCAGATGATACACGTGCGCATGAAAAACAATCCCTTTCTTAAGAACAAACAAAAATACACTGAATTTGTACATAAAATCTATATCCTGTACAGGTGAGTGATAAATTAGAGACTCCATTGCTATAATAGAGTCTATGTATGCCTAATTCCATTTCACTTTCAATCAATTTAACACTTTTGGCGTCGCATTTTCATTCGAAATTTGGAGTTTTGATCATTATGTTCGGTTTTAATTGGATTTTCCGTTTGGTATTTCATGCCCGGTAAATAGTTTTTTTTTTTTCGAAATATGCGTAGTATAAATTGGCTTCAAAAGCTTTTAATTAAATTTTTTTTTTTTACAACGAAATTTTATATTTGGATTCATTGGCAAAAATTGAATAATTCGATTGAAGTGAATTAATTTTAATTAGTTTGTAACACAAATGACACACACAACTAATCCACTACACACCCCAATTATTTACATGAAACACTATTTACATCACAGTTATAACACCGCTTTTTTGTACACAGAAAAACATATGACACATACTTAGACATTTTGATAGACTTTAAGTGGGAATACAACTTGCAGACACGGTCAAAATTCAAAAGGCTTCAAATTGTTTTAAATCTTGCAACGGAGCGCTTCCATTTTTATATCTAAATCATTTTTTTTTTTTCATTGAAAATGTTGATTTTTAATGTTCACTTATCATAGTCTCTCTTATTATAGTTTTCAATCGATTGATACTTGAGCTATTTCCTTCTTCTTTGACACACACACATACACACATTTTTTCCCCTCTGACATGGGATACACCATACACACATGTTCTAATAGACAATTGCCATAGAAAATGAATGATAATAAATGAATCGATTGTAAGATTTAATATATTTGGCTTCAATTCAATGGTCGCTTCATTGCAACGATTTCTTTTAAGTTGAATGAATTTGATTTTTGATGTTGAATTTTTGGCGTTGGGCAATTTTGATGCTATAGTTTTTTTAGTGTATGCATTTAGACAATTTGTACACAAAACACACACACACACACACACACATTTATTTACATATTTTACATTACATTCATAAACATAATCAACACAAAACATACCAAACAAAATAAAATCGAACATTTTAAACGGAACCAAAAAACATATACGACATAGTATTGCACAATGTTACACATTTGAAACATAATTTTTGTTCAAACATTTGATTAATTGAAATTTGTGTGCTTTTTCCTCCTTTTCTCCTGCAAATTGTTCGAAACCATCAGCATTAAGCTTGACTGCGAGTTTTGTGCGAAATGATTGGAAGGGTATCAGAGCGGTGAGTCCAGCGTCATCCATAATGTCGATGTCGATGTCAGCAACAAATAGCCATAATCAATCGCATAATTTAAGTCATTATCTGCACAATAATAAGCAAGAAAACTACCAAAGTCGCCAAAGAAAAGATCGATCTAGTCAGAATCATGATCGGCGTCGTTTACAAAATAATTTAGGTGTTAGTGCAGATAAGCAGACGGATGAGGCGCGCTATAATTTAGCCACACGCATCATGTCGAATGGTGTTGAGGTTATTGTTGCTGGCGATAAGACGACATTGCCCGGTGGCCATCCGAATACACATTTACGAATTTTAACAACTACAACCGATGCATTTAAAATGCCATTAACACTGGCACCCAGCACACTCAAAGATCATATGCTGTTGATGCTACCGCAACAAACGATGAACAATGGTGCTGTCGGTGCTGTCGCTGTCGCCACGGATCCCGACAAAAGTACACAGGTTTTGAATGAATTGCAATCGTTTTACAATAAAAATCAATTCGTCACCAAAACCTGTCTCACAACATTCACATATTCGGCGACATATGTTGTGGATGGCAGCACAAAAATTGAAAGTCGCGAAAAAGTCATCACAAACACGGCCACCGAGGAGCGAAACGCTTATAATATTCGACCGACAAGCTCATCCGGGATTACATTGACACAGGTGAGTCAGGTGAATACATGTCAAATGTGATACGAAATTGGCCGGTTGTTTAATGGAATTTCATTTTGATTCTTTTAGACTCCAAATCTTGCAACGGGTGTCTTCAAAACGACGTACACGTATTTGAACACCGTTTTGGATGGCGAACAGCCCGTTGTGTTGACATCACAGCACACAGTTACAAACACAATAACGGCGCCCGAGGATTACTTATCGATTTTGCAACCATCCGAACCGAGTGCAACACTATTCGAAACGAACACTTACTATAATACGATGGTATTGACGAAAACGCTAACCGATAATGACATTTCCAAGGTGATCAGTACGACGGATGTGGTGAAGCAAGTGGTGATCACGGAGCTGTTGCCATCAAAGAGTATGTCAGTGATGACATCGTACATTGCTATTGATGCTGAAGGAAATGAGAGTCCAGCTGACAAAGCCGATATTCTATCGTCACCCTTGCTATCGGCCACTGATGTTGTAAAAACGTTCTTCGTCACCTACACATACTTCAATACGTATTTGATCAACGGCAGCACAATTGTGCGTACGAATATGTCAACGTCATCCGTTGTGGCCACAGAAAAGCTTTACATTTATCCGACAATAAAACGAATGCCCGCACCACAAATGACAACACGAAATGCATTACCCATTCGCATTGAGCCGCTCGACAATAACATTGGCCTCGAAGATGATTACAAAACCGAATCCAACGAGCTCATGAACAATGAATTAAGACAAACTGTCAACTTGTATGCAACCAAAACATTTGCCACGACATTCACGTATTTCACAACTCTGTTGCAAGGTCCGACCAGTAGTGATGCATCGAACGGGCCATCATCGGTTCGTGATGATTATGACAATGAACATTTGTCGACGGTTGTCAATTCGCATACGCGTGTCGTTGAAAATGTTGTCACCGAATCGATTCCAATGAACTTTTTGCCATCGACGGCCGTGCATCGTCTGAAATTGCTCTTTTTTGGCGACGAACAAAATCAACCACAAATGAAAAATGAATTCAAGTACACAACTTTAGCCACCTTGATCGATGGCCAAGCAATTGAAATAACAGCAATAAAAAATACCATCGATCCGAGTTCAAAAGTCAAAGATGATATGCAAACGGCAAATGTTTACGCAAATTCACCAGCTCTGAGTAGTGAAGAGAGTAGCGAAGAGCATTTGATTGAAATTGATAACACAAAGAATGACCTGGAAAATGATCAAGAGGCAGCTGGAAGTGAGATTGAGCAACATGAAACTAGTCCGGTAAACAAGAATAAAGTCGATTCGAGTCAATTGCTTAAAAATTCGACAAAAATCAAAACACAAACCCAATCACCAGTCAGCAATTTGATTGGATCGATCAATTTCAATGGTTTGAAAGTACTTCGTCCGATGATTGATGCCGTTGCCGGTTTAATCAAACCCATGATCAATTGGAACAACGATAGTATTGCAAGTAATACTCAAACAATTACCGTGCATCATACATCGCCGTATCCATTGTATACGCCAGCTCGACCACACGGCGGAAGCCTACCACCAATTCCGGATTATATCGAAAATTATGCAGGCAATCAAAGTGGCGTAACAGTGCCACAACCACCGGGTAACATTGAACCAGCCAAAGGACACGCACGCAATCCGATTTACATTCCAGTTAATGGGAACAAGGAGAATTTTGAAAATATTGAAAATTTAACACCCGTCAACTTTCTGCCTCCCGAAATTGTCGATCACTCTGAAAGTAGCAACGAAATCTTACACACAAAACCCAATCCAAATTTGAGCCAGAATCCAAATCAAAAGAATAAAGTTCCAATTCTTGATGGCGGCATTCCGATTTCACCCGGTGACGTTATTACAGCCAATTCGGATGTTATTTTCGGACGACCAACTGGTAATCGGCCAAGAATTCCATTGAATAGAGGTGGGTTTGTTTTTCTTTCAATTACAGAATCTTGGAGAAACATTTTGAATATTGTTTGATCAAAATAAAGACATTTTTACATTATTTCAATCTAAAACTGCAAATTAGTTTAGTTCGTGTTCTTTTCCAATCTTTCAGATACTCCAGTTTCAACGGTCAAAACGATTGCAAACGGCAATATGTCACCGGAATCGTTTAATTCGGATTCGCATTCAATTTCCTCGGTTCATAGTGAAACGTATATTGGACCACCGCCACCATTGCCGCAGAAAACATTACCGCCATTGCAACAAAAACCACCGCATTTGGCCAAAGCAACACCACACTTTAATAAAATTCCCGTCTTCCGAAACAAACCAATGTTCATACAGAACAAGCCACAACACATTCTGTCTGCTTTGCCACCACATCAACTGATCGGCAATCAAGTGCATCCGAGCGCAGGATATTCAAATCAAGTGCATCCAAATCAGGGACCTCCAATTCTGAATCAAGGGCTACATCCGAATCAAGGACCACATCCGAATCAAGGACCACATCCGAATCAAGGGCACCCAAGCCAAGGACACCCGAATCAATTGCATCAAAACCAAGTACATCTGAACCAAGTGCACCCAAATCAGGTGCATCCAAACCAAGTGCACTTGAATCGAATCCGCGGCCATCTTGGTCACATCAACAAGGATCAACCGCTAAATCGTTTAGTTCAACAGCCGGTCCGACCGAATTTGATTCCTCTGAATCATGTGCTGCCAACACCGAATATTGGTGTGCAACCAAATCAAAATGATATGCATAAATATGTGTTGAACAATGTTGCCGGCGGTGTGAATGATATTATTGAAATTCAGCGCATTCCAGAAGTGTACAGTACGGATTTGCCACCGGTTCACATTTACCATGCACCACAAGAAATCGTCTCATTCACAGCGGAAACGATTGAGCCCACCAGAACAGCACATCGACCACACGACATTCAAACCATTGATCAATTCCCAGAGGTCGTTGAAAGTGCCACTGGCCAACCGTTGTTTGTGAATATTCAACCATCACAAATTGCAAAGGTTGTGATTCCACACGGTAGCTCAAGTGCTCTCATTTTCGGCGGTGTGCAAGAGATGCACAAGTCTGGCGAATACTTTGACGATCCATCACCATATCCAAATGCCAACGATCAAGTGGTTAGCATTCATGCGCAGCCATCGATTGCTGTCACAAATAATGTGAACGCTCAAGTGCAAGACGTGAACAATGTGCAAGTTGGTTCAATTCCAGCTGTGGCCAATCAAAAAGTGAACGTTGATTCACACGTTTTGAGTCAAGATGTTGATATGCATGTACCGCCAATTATATTCAGAAATCAAGACACAAATGACATTCCAATTACATCGGGAACAATTCCGAATAAGAACGAACCATATCAGCAGCAACAGCAGCATCGGCAACAACAATATAAGCAACAGCAACAGCAACATCAACCTCAGCCTCAGCCACAGTACCATTATAACCAACACATTCCAAATGTGTTCAATCGCAGTTATCAGGAGCCAAATCCATATCTTCAAATTCCAGCAGGAAATTTGATTCGCGATAATAATCGATCACCGTTCGTAGTTGACATTCAAAGCATAAATTTGGGTATGGGCCAAGACGATGCCGATGCCGATGCCGATGCCAACATTTCGGGTGAAGTGAACGATGACAATTTGCCGTTGCATTCACAAGCACCATCAATAAACGAACATTTCAATATCGATCAGCACAAAGATGATGACTACGAAAATGAGCACGGCGAAGTGATTCAGGAATCGAATTCGGTGCCGCAGCTCGTGTCTAGCGATCAATCGTTTTCGGATAATTTGAATCAAATTCCTGATTACACAAAACCAACGACCAAGAGTGTGCCCAAAGATCAACGCATCCCATTCACACAGACCGAAGCAAACAGCTTATGGAATAAGTATCCATCGACAAGTGAATTATACCCGGTGACCTTTACAACTGAACGGCCAACGTACAGTCAAACAACGCCACCACATTCACTGACCACGAGTCCAAATCGATCGCCGTTCGGAACGCATCAAGTGAAATTACAAATTCCACCTGTTGCACCAAACTTAGTCAATGATATGTATGTGCCGTTGAATCACACTCAAACGCACAAACCGATTTTGGCACACGGCCCAGGTTATGTCAATCGCAATCCAAATAATAAACCTGTTTTCTATGGACATCAATCAGTCGATCCAAGACCATCGAAGTTTGGAACTCCGCATCATATTACACTGCAAAATCCTCCAGTTCCACCACACTTTGCTGGGCCATTGTACACGGATGCACATCGACCACCACCAATTCCGCCACCACATCACTCGCGACGACCGGTTTCAATCAATCAAAAACCATTCTCAAGATATCCAGTGCATTACAACAAGCCAATCCCAACGAATTATTCGGTGCATCAAGGCGAACCAATCAAACCAAATTGGCATTCGAGCAAACCATTCGATGCCAACCACTTTGGACCCAATGCACCGCTTACAACCACAAGACATCCAACGACTTCACAAGATCAAACACCACAAACGAGCGAAGTGAATACGCACAGCACACATCGACCATTTGTTCCATCGAATAATCAACCAGATGCCGATTCAAAGATCACCCACTACACCGATCCATCAACGAATATTACACATTCCATACAAGAATCATCAGACATTTTCGATTTCACACGCGGCAAACCATTCGTTTACCCACCACAGCGACCAGTAACGCAGGAGCAGACATCGCATTTGAATATCGGCGAAGAGAAGCGGCCAGTGTCGAATGTAAAACACACAAAGACCAACGAAACACAGTCGAATGTGGAAATTGCACAGGCCGACATATTTGATTACAAGGAGAGCATAAATCCACACAATTTGGCTGCGATTACCGAAAATCCAAATCAAATTATGACCACGGACAATTTGCCGGGCATTACGAACACTGCCTTTATTCCGTTTGGCGAAAAGACAAAAGTTCCAATGCCAGTCATTGAACAAGTATATCCAAAAACACCGGCCACTGAAATGCAACCGCCACCAACTTATGCTACAAACTATAAGCCGTATATTCAAAAGCATGTGCCAGCCATTTCACCGTCACCGCATCACCAAAATGTGTTGATTGAAGAGGTGATGGGATTGTCACCGCCCCCAATTCCGAAAATCAAGAAACAACCATCCGAAATGCATGGCAACTACGGTAAAGTGGCGATTTCACACGGCAATTTGCATCCGGTGCACAAACCAAATGCAGGTCATTTCTCCATTACCGCTCCAACGCACTATCCAGAAACGTCATACGTTACAACGCATCACGATAGTTATGTGGAAAGTGGCACAGAAATGGGTGCCATTGGTGAGCCACAAATCGTAACGAGCACTGAAGATCCAGAGGTGGCCGATAGCGATCCAAATGATAGTGTACGAATTCCATATCATAATGTGGATCGTGAGAAACCGGTTACAAAGGTACCGTCTCGAATACCAGACATTACGACTACCAAAGGTGACGATGTGATCGATTTGGATGATTATGTTCGGTATAGCATTGATTCGAAACCAGAATTGCCGAAAATCACAACGCGAAAACCATTCAAACCAACATCGAATGGTCACATGCCACAGTCACCGCAATTCGATGAAAATGTTTTGGTGCAGCAGCCATCACAGCATCACATCTTTGAAGAAACAATGAGCACAACATCAAGAGGCACACCATCAACCACAATGGCCACCGACAATTTCATCCAGCCAACGGCAACTCTTAAGGTTCAAACGGTTAAGGCTACTCGACACACGGTTCACGATACAAAAGTGTTAACGGTAACAACCACCAAGACAACCGTTCGATCACAGGGCATCACATCAACAATTTTACTCACATTGACCAGAACGAAAACATCAACATTCGTTGACACTATCACGCACACACTGGTCAAACCGACCCGGGTTAGTCACGAGCCAACGATTAAACCAACCATCTTCACTGCACCAATTACAATGCAAAAGGTTTCCGGATCGTCGGCATCAATCGTACCGAATCCATCGTTCTCGATTTATGCCATTGGATCACCGCACGATGAAAGCGAACATGAGCACGACAGTTCGAATGTGTCCAGCGAAGATCAGTCATTCGAATTGGAAGACATTCATGATATTGAGCATATGATTGCGCCAACACCAAGAATCCCCGAACCATCGATCACAAAACATGTTGGTAGTAACTCGGCGGCGGCCAACGCCACCAACGATAGCATTTTCGTTGTGATGACCGATCGCAAGAAACTCGGAACGATCAATATTAACGCTGATCTACTGCATACGTTGAGCACGAATTTACAAAATGCAACCACTAAAATGCATCATGATGAAAAGACGAGCGGCACACAGAAGAAGGCCCAGGCTACAATTGGAGCCATTGACGATGTTTCCACCGATGATGATGATTTCTTCGACGATTTACCCAAACGAGATGAAGATGATAACCGAAATGATGTTAGCCATGTACTGCTTGGCGGCATTCTGATTGCAACTCCACCACGCTCATCGGAAGTGTCGAAGAAAAATGGTGCTAAACTGCCGAAAACAACCACACACAATTATGATATCAATCTGGCCGATGAAATTGACGAACACATTGAGAGCCAAGGTGCAGCGATCATCGAAGAAACACGAACATCACATGATAAGAGCCGAGTCACCACACAGCCTGAATGCCAACCGGACTGCAAGGCGGTTAACAATGAAATTTGCCAGATTACCGGCGATTTGGCCAGGTGCATTTGTCGACCTGGTTTCGCCCGAATGTTCCTCGATCGACCATGCAAACGTAAGTTTATCGATCCAAATGAATACACAAGTCGAGATGAACATGAAATTCGAAGTGTTTCCAATTTGCAAGTTTTTTTTTTTTTAATTTAATTTTTCTCTTCAAATTTAATTTGCAGCTACGTACACATACACGTTGCATTTGGCCGTTTCTCAGCTGCAGAGTCAATCATTGAAATACGAAGATGCATTGCGCAATCCATCGTCACCAAAATATTCGCACTTGATGCAAGTTGTACACGACGCCATCGATCGCATGGTAATGCAATCCGAACTACGTGACATATATCATGGCGTTCATGTGGCTGGCTTCAACAATATCACTCGATCGAACAGCACACAGGCATCGTCGAAAGTATCGATCGGACCGATGTCATTGCCAATGAAAGGCATCGAAACCGAATTCCATCTGCAATTGTCCGATAATTCAAAGAACGAAGAGCAAATTATGGACGTGTTCAAGAAGTATTTGCAAAAGAATAACTTCAATTTGGGCGGCACCAACTTGTATTCATCACAGTCGCTCATTGAACATCTACGTGCTAATGGTAAGATTTGCTACAATCCACAATATTATTCAAAAATTTATCTTATCAAGTTAAGAAAAAAGATTTTTGGGTTCTCGAATTTAGATAAAATATGACGTTACTTAATAAAATATATTTACCTTCAGATTTCGACGAATGTATGAATGCGAAATACCATGATTGCTCAGAGAATGCATACTGCTTCAATTTGCGTGGCACCTATACTTGTTCCTGCAAAGAAGGTAATTTTTTAAGTTTTTATTGCAATGATGAAGTCAATTTTTGAAAATTCAAAATCACCATCGAATTTAATGCGATGAGACTGGCTTTTTCTCATTAAAATATAATATGGTTTCTAATTCAATTTCAGGTTTTGTCGACATGTCAGAGAATCCATTGTATCCGGGTCGAGTGTGTTCAGCCGAAATGATGGGCTGTAATCAATGCAATTATCACGGAAGCTGCATTGAGCATATCGATGAAGATAGCGAAGTGCAAGAAATGCTTTGCGATTGCTTCCAATGGTATGCAGGCGAAAGGTGTCAATACAATTTGAAAGGTAAAGCTTCACACTATTTTCCATCATACCAACAATATTTTATGGAAATTAGGCTTTTTTCTTTGAGATTTACTAATATTTTATTTTAAAAGCGAGATGAAATCAAATGTTGTTTTAAATGATTTTTTGAAATATTTTGAAATTAACAAATTTGCAATTCAATTTACAGTGTTGCTTGTTGGTCTAATCGCATTGGGCGGTATTATGTTTGCATTGCTGTTGATTTGTATCATATTAACATGCTGGAAACACAACCGTCCAAGTAGTGGCCGACGACGAACCGTCGTACCTGGCATCGATATACTGCCACACAAGACTCTGACTGTGCACGGAAGTGGCAGTAAAACAGGAACACTGCAAGATAGACGCGCAATGATCGAGGATACCAGCAGCGAAACGAGTGAAGATTCGTTGCAGTTGCCATATGTCACGAAGAAGGTAATTTTTGTTCAATCATTCTAAACCAACCGAATTTGAATAGGTTTAAACGAAAATGTTCTGTTTTTACATTAAACTTTGGTTTTGTAAAAAAAAATAAAATCGAATGAAAACATTGTTTAATTTTAAATAGCAACATCAGCAAAATGCTTCATCGAAAAATTCGAAAAAGGTTGTTAGCAAGCCGACATCTGCACCTCCGAAGGGTGTTGCCCCATCACCACCAAAAGGTAACAATAACACAGCAACGATGGATCAAAATCAATCATTGCCGGTGATGATTCCGCGCGCAAAATACTATTCGCAACAAACGACACCAGCTCCACCAGATCCACAGCAACAACATCAACATCAAGATCGGTGAGTTACTTATTTTGCCACAGTCATTTGAAAATCAAATAAATAACGGAAGCGAAAGAAATAGAATGAAATGTTTGTTTTTTTTTTTCAGTCGTGGGATGCAAACGGGTGTAGCAACGGCAACTCAAGGGCAAGCAACGATGTTCACAACAACCGATTCGATTGGTTCAACTGCGGAGGCGAAATTGTTAAGCTACTTAGATGCTAGTCCATCAACGTCGAAGGTAAATTTACGCATTCTCTTGAAATGTTTCACGTTGGAAAATAATTGGGCGAATTTTTTTTTTCTCCAGAATTTTGTAAAGAAGAAGGCGAGTACGCATAATAGCAAGAGTCATTTAAATGATGACAGTTTAAATCATCATTATCCATATCATTCGGGTGAAACAGGTTTGATTTTGTTTCTATTCGATTTTTTTTTATGCATTTTTTTTTTCGAAACGACATTTTATCGTTTTCAAATGAATTAAAAAATCGTTTTCATTTGTTCCACAGGCGCGTTAGTATCAGCTGGATTTGAGGTATCTGCCACTGTAGTTCATGACAGTTTGACTATTGTTCCGAATTCAAATGGTTTGGATGCCGCCAGCAGTGTATCGACCAACAAAAAAACCACCGATCACCTGGTCGACTGGTTGACGCATGTGCCAGAGCATGAACTGTAAGTGTTTTTCTCTTTCACTGCCTGTCTCTATGTTAAAATTCATAAGAAAATTTACGAAAGAAAAAAAAACGGAAATGAACAAAGAAGAGAAACTCATGTCCAAAATTGATTTGTATTCAGAATAATATCGGAGGCACGTTCATATGGCGAAACATTGGTGCATCCACAAACGAAAACGTTGATCCAATCGCCGCATTATCGAAGTCAAAATACCAGCGTGTACGATAAGCCATTGTCAACGATCATGATGGATGATGCTGATACGATGGCTGAACGTGATTTGGGCTCAACATTCCTACTGCCACACACGCATCTATACAAACCGGATAGAGTAAGTCAAATGGCAATCAAAAATGAAAAAGATTATTCATATTTATTCATACAAATTCACATTTTTTCGATTTTTTTCTCCATAATTTTCATTTTTTTTTTTTTCACCCTTTTAGTTTCATTAAAATTCATTCGTACTAAAAAAAAATACCCCATCCCTTCTTCCCTTTGCAGGCGAGCGACATATCCGGATTCGATTCGCTATAATGAACGCTGCTCGTCGCACAGTGGGCCCCAATTTGTTATGAGCTTGAGAATTATTTATTTTTGTTTTTAAAGTAATTGTTTCATTCTGCAAAAGAAAAACAACACACACTATTTAAGCAATGCAAATTTTACATGCGTTTCCGTTTTGAAATCGTTTTTCGAACATTTTTTTTTTCTCTGTGTGTGTAAATGACAATGCTATTTTTATTGACTATTTTTATACTTTTGTAAATTATATTACGAAAATGAACAATGCAGCCATATAGAAGAATAAAAACTCTGTAATATTGTAGTGTTATCAATGGACGTGAACGTTAAAAGTGTAAAACAGAAAAGATGAACAATCGAAAGAAAAACCCGCTCCCGTTTGTTCAATGTAGAGAAACAGGAAGAGAAAATCAATCGATTTGCGAAAACAGCAAATCGAGATGTCGTGAGGAAAAGACCCAACCGAATTTCAAACCAATCGAAAAACATAAAATATTGGCAAACATTTTCTACAATAGAATCCAATACAAGGCACATCATAAAGGTCTACCTCATTCAATAAATCCATTGTAACTAGCTTAAAACTGGTTTTTCATATGTCAATGTGAAAAATTGAGACGATTTTGAACGAGAAAAACAATTCATTTTTTTTTTGTTGTGAAATTTAATTAGTAGCGATTTCGATAATGGTGTGGTGATGCAAATAGTCAGTTTTAATTTTTTTTCAATTTTTTTTTAATTTTTTTTTTTTTTTTTTTTGTACGAACGAAAGTGGAATAAAGTAGATTTTAAGTGTCAAACAGAAATGAAATTCGTTTCTGCTTTGTCGTCAAATGGAAAAACGCAATCAATGAACGTGAACATAATGATATTTTAAATGGAAAATATGACGTTTTAATGGTTACGCAGAAAAAAAAAAAAAGAAACAGAAAAACAATTGAATTAGTGCCAAAAATGTTTGAAAAACAGAAATATCGACGATGATAACACAAAATGACGATCATTTTTTTTTAATTTATGAATAAAGCGAGAAAAATGCAGAGAAAAAAAATGAAAACGGACACACATATATAATGTACTACTATGACGGTGGGTTGACATTTATTCCGAGACGACAATATTATGTTCTAGTTTGATTTTAAGACAGATAAAAAAAAATAAACGTTGAAATTAAAAATAACATTACAATATGCTTTCCAATCGCAACAAAAAACGAACAAATAGAAGAGAAAACACACAAACATTTCGAGTGTGTTTTATCATCAAATGAATTGAATTCAAATTGGAAACAAAATAAAATCTTTCAAAAAATATACACCTTTCAAATTCTATTTAACATTATGTAATAATTTAATCTAACTTTAAATGACAACAAAATCAAAAACAAATCGAAAAGATGAGAAAAAAACAAACAATTATTATCTACATTCATTGATTTATATTTTGCTTTTAAATATAAAAGAAATCAACAAAACCTATTGTGTATTGTAAAACATAAAGTTTAAATATATCTATAAATAAAACTTACGACATTTTTTTGTTTTTATTTTCAATTTTATTGCTTGAGAATACCCAGCTGATCGGCTCAGATTTATCGTAAGTATGAATTTGTACCATTACATGAAATGCAGAATGCTATTTTTATCCTCATTCATGATTCGAAAACAAAAATATCGATTTGAAGGAATAAATTGAAATAAAATGAAAAAAAAAAAAAAAAAACTAATCATTTGAGATAATGTCCGTTTGCATTTTTTTTCTGCTTTGCTTAGGGTGTTGGGTATCATATTTTTGGAAGCATTTTACTCGTGTTCTATTGACGTAGCCAAACGTGGAATGCTTTGTATACTGATACATGTATTTGCTTGGAACTCAGTTGACCGAAGCGCCATCTAAAGAACGGATGGCGAATTCGTTATGTCTGTATGTTATACTTCAGTATTTCGTTTGACAGAACGGAGAGTGTACTTGATTGTATTGTCATTAGCCTTAGATTATCTAGGTGGTGTTTGCGCTCAATATCAGTTGTCAAAGTAAAAAAGAATAGGACCGTTGGACGTAGCAATATTAACACTTAGGAAAAAAAATTATGGCAGATGTATATGATGAAGATGGAGAAAAAAAGCCAGTTGAAAACATTTGTTGAGTCAGACATGTTTTTCAGCTTACCGATCATAAAAGTTTGAGTGATACCAGAAAACACGTTCTCGTCAAATTAAAAAAACCGAGCCAATTAATCGATAGTAGGGAACGAAATAAACGAATGCACGAACGAAAAAATGTGTCCATGGTTGAAAACATCAAGGATCGGATGACCAATTTGAATTCTAAATTTTTTCTACAATTTTTTGGAACCATTCTTCATTCGAAAAAAAATTCGATTTGTGGAAAATACGTTTTTTGACCAAGATTTGAGTTGTTCCATTTTATAGCAGTTTTTCGATATCCGATTACTCAAAAAAATTGTTCCTACATTAAAAAAAAAAGTAAAAACACTACATTAAACTACATAAAATCTACAATTTATTTTATTTAACATGAATTGAAATCGCCCTACCCGAAGTCATTTCGGCAAATTTTTCAAGATTTGAATATTCATCTGATAATAATTATCAATCATTATATAATGCAAGTTTAATATAGTTTTGGGCGATTTCCTCATAAAAATGCACAATATGAAGAAAAAACCAAAGAAAAATCCATGAAAAAATCTACAAAACAGAAGAAAATCACTTTTTTTCTAGAACAAACCCAAACAAAATTCCATTTGATTCAAAACGATTTTATTTTTCAACTTGTTGTTCATAAATTCCATGGTTTCTCATGTTAAAACTAAATTAAATGGTAAATAAAATATGAAATCAGATCAATGTGGTGATGCATTGTGTGTTTGCTAAATGAAATCAATGTTCTGAAGCCTCTAAGATCTAAACATTTATTATGAAATCAGTTGTAGTTTTTGTTGTAGTTTTTGTTTAGATGAAAAAATTAAAGGAAATTTTTCATATTCACATATATTATGTTGTTCCCTTGATTAGTCCCTGCAAAAAGCGCACGCTACTAGATTAATTCTAATTTTTGATGAATAAACATATTCAATTTTACCCAAAAACTAATCATTTTTTTAGGTAATAGTGAATGTTAACTTAATTCAATAAAGTAGTTGTTGTTCAATACAAATAACATGAAACTCAAATATCTTGATCTCACTTCAATCGAATGAACAATTCAAATGTTAAGTTAAGTGACTTGTTTTTACACGCTATCTCTAAGTATATGTGAGAGAAAAAAAAAATCTTCAATGGGCACTTTTCGGACTGCCGTCAGTTTTAGATCAATTAGCATCTTATAAATACAGCAAGAAAAAGGTGACAATACCGCTTCCAATCGACACCAAGAAACTCAAGTGATTGGTCTTCTCCTTGTGCGTTGAGTACCGAATTCTGAAAAATAAATAATAAATTGAATTTTAAATGAATTTGGTGGTCGTTATCAAAGCAAAATTATATTTGTGACTCAATGACGCAGTTGTCAATTGAATTTATTACGTACTGTTGGGCTTTGCGTGGTGTGAATGGAGTCGGCGGACAAATTCCAGGCACATCGCTGTCAAAGTAATTTATGGTCATCATGAAAATGGTGACCAAAACAGCAACGACCAAGGGCTGCGTAAGGTAGACATAGTTGACTTGTGTCCATTCAACACCGGCATTGACTTTGCTAGACAATTCGGAATTCATGTCCTTCAACAGCGTTTGTATCACCTTGTTACCTGGGAAAAATATGCAAAAAAAAGAGCAGAAAATGCAATTAATTGAAAAAAAAATCAATGAAAATAAACCTAAGCACATTTTATCAAACAGAAAGATAACAGAAAAAAATGGGAAATTTACGGAAAAAAATTGCTTTTCATTCCAAAAATTAATAAATGGAAATAAAAGTCGTGTTCAAGAAATGTCTCGCAAAAACTCTGATTGGGTTTCAAAAAAATTGTTTCTAAAAATAGTACCAATTCAGTCCGAAGCGTGTGAAAATGCAATTTCCTTCATAAGATCTAATCTTTTTATAGGCACAAACTTAAAAAATACAAGTATAGTACGCTTGTATCGGAATATAAAAAAAACCAGCGATCAAAAAAATGCGAATTGGCTATGATGCAATTGTCAACTGATGAGTTGAATGCAAAAAAAAAACCGAACCGAGTATAAAATAGAAAACAACGAAAAGGTTTCCAAACCGAAATGCCAGAAGTGAGAAACCACGACAGAAAAAAACAAACCAAATAGACGACTAGAGTTTCAATGAAGCCAAGTTGTGTGTGTCTTATGGGAGAGAAACGTTGGCCATATAACGGCAATAATTGATATACACTATTTCCACATCGTGTATTTGTGTAGGTGGAACGAACTTTGTATGTCGTGTGTATTTCTCTTATTCGCTTTGAATTTTTATGACCGAAGAATGGAAAAAAAAAACCAACAATTTCACTATTATCGATTATTGCGAGAGTGTTACTTCATTCGTTCAACACATGCGAGAAGCCAATTGCACACAAAATTCGTGATCCTTTGCCGTTAACGTCACATTATCATCGTAACTCATTCAACGCATAATCGATGAGATCATCTGGTGTTTTGTTTACACGCTATTTTTGGCTTTGTTTGCCGAATTATTGTTAAAACAAGCAGAAAAAAAAAACCGATGAATGCGATTCCATTAGCCTCAATGACATTTGTGTATTTGGTTTCGTTTTTTTTTTTTTTGTTTCTTTTTGCGTATATTTCACTAGCATCGCATTTAACTTACTGAGAGCTGCGATGACCACCGTTAATACTAGGGCAGCTGCAATGAATGTGTTGTTCAGTTTAATTGTAGCGCGTGATGTTTTTTTCGTATTATTGCCCAATTTCTCCAACGAATCATCATCATCATCGTCGAATTCTCTGAACAGTGATCGTCGCACTGAATCCAGCTTCTTCGTCATTTTTGGGCTGTTTTGTGATATGGGACTTCAACGTGACTGAGTTCAAAATTTTTGACGAAAATTCGGTTCAGGTGGAATTTGCTCGGTTTTCTTCTTTCTCTTTTCAATCCACTCTAGTCAAGCAATTCGTTTGTAGCAATCGTAATTTTTGCTGCAATAAATTTCGACTTTTCTTCTTTTGTTTTTTTTTTTTTTTTTTGTTCACTGCGTTCTCATTAGATAAAACACCGAATTATTTACATTGGCTGGGATGTTGATTCAAAGGCAACAAACACGCTAATATTTTGTGGGAAAAAACAAAACACAGACAATTTTTCTCGTTTAAATTTTGCGAATGTGTGATTCACTTCCGGCAAACACAGAGATTATGCACCAGATTTACATTCGATATCAAACTCTATTTCTGACCGAAATACCGAAAAAAAATAGACGCAAATTAAATTTAGGTAGCCGCTGTTGCTCTTTTTACGTCTGTTTGAATGGACTATACTACTACGGTGTGTTTTGTTTTTCATTCGCTGTGTTTACAGCAGCAGCGGCGGTGACAACAAACACCACAACACAAACCGACTCGCATACGTCACATACACACTAATGAAGTAGTTAAGATATGGTTGCGTACACCAGCCGCTTTGCATGTGTGTGCATGGACACAGAACATCTGCACTGTGGTGCGGCTATGTGTGCGGAGAGAGCATCACATCGGATCGTGTTTGTGCGTACGCTATCCAAACTGCATTTGTATCAAAATAGTTTCACTGTTTGCCCGATTAACAGATGACACAGCCAACTTCATTTTGTTTCCTCGGTGCAATATTAGAATTATTGAAATCGAATGGACCGAACAGATCTAATGCATGGAAAATATAGAAATGAGGACAAAGCTAGTTTCAAATCGACAAAGTGATTCAATTTCACTTGCAAATTTCGGTTTTTGCATATTAGAGGAATGAAAAGAACAATCTTTTTTTTGTTTTTTTTTTTTCTAATATTTTTCATCTTTTTTTTTATGAAGTTTTCCGAAATAACTCATTTCTCCTCAATAGCTTTGTTTGTTTTTTAATTGGATTTTTTTTTTCATTCTCTATTTTTATCCTTGAACTTTATCCCAAAAAATGATGTTGTAAGTAAACATTTGGAAAATCTTTAAGAAGAAACAAGAGAAATTTTATTTCAATTTTAGTTTGCAGAAAATCGATGCGATTTCAAAAAGTATCTCCATTCAATCGATGGAAATATTCAAATTCAAATTTGATTTTTGAATTGATGTGCGTTACCATTAAACGCATCCATTCTTCGTACTGTCACTGGCATTGACAGGTTCGGCGCTCTGTTTTGAGTTTCCACGCGATACATTGACCAAAAATCTACCGTCAAATTCCGATTGTGTGTGGTGTGCACGAATTTACCGAAAATCACCCGTTTTCTGCCAAATTTCCCGAAAAAACCTTACATTTTCCCTGCAAATTTGTCTAGCTCGTGTTCAAAATGAGTACAATTATGGAGAAAATTGCGGCGATCGAGTCAGAGGTAAATAAATGTTGATTGTTTCATTGGTTTGTGTATTTTAAGGTTATGCCAGCGATTTGTGAATCGGTTCGCCCGGTAAAAAACATTCTGAATTGGCAATTGAAATGTGAATTTTTTCCACTCTTTCAAATCAAAATGCTAACAACGACGAAAATTAATTTTTCAGATGGCTCGAACGCAAAAGAATAAGGCGACTGCTGGCCATTTGGGTATGTTGAAGGCCAAATTGGCAAAGTTGCGTCGTGAATTGATCACACCAAAGGGTGGTGGCGGTGCATCTGAGCAAGGATTCGAAGTGGCCAAAACGGGAGACGCTCGTGTGGGTTTTGTCGGGTTTCCGTCGGTTGGCAAGTCAACGTTACTATCAACATTAGCCGGTGTTTACTCCGAAGTGGCAGCATACGAGTTCACAACGTTGACAACGGTGCCTGGCTGTATCAAATATAAAGGTGCAAAGATTCAATTGCTTGATTTGCCCGGTATCATCGAAGGTGCCAAGGATGGTAAAGGTCGTGGTCGACAGGTTATTGCTGTCGCCCGTACGTGCAATCTTATTTTCATGGTTTTGGATGTGCTGAAACCGTTGCACCATAAAAAATTGCTGGAACATGAATTGGAAGGGTTTGGCATTCGATTGAATCAAACACCGCCAAACATTTATTACCGGAAAAAGGACAAAGGTGGTATTAATTTTAATTCAATGGTGGCACAAAGTGAACTCGATTTAGATACAGTTAAAACCATTTTATCGGAATATAAAATCCATAATGCCGATATCACGCTTCGATATGATGCCACTTCGGATGATTTAATTGATGTTATTGAAGGCAACCGTATCTATATCCCATGCATTTATCTGCTCAATAAAATTGATCAAATTAGTATCGAAGAATTGGATGTCATTTACAAGATTCCACATTGTGTACCCATTTCGGCTCATCATCGCTGGAACTTTGACGATTTACTGGAACTCATGTGGAGCTATTTGAAATTGGTGCGAATGTGAGTACCACTTTCCAATATTTTGTCTTTTTTCAATCAGGTTTTTTTTTTTCATTGCTAAGCGATGGATCCTTTTCTGTTAAATTTCTTCTCGGACTGATCAGAAACATAAATTTATTTGGTTTATTCTTTGAATTGATGAAAAATGCTACAATTTTCAGTCAACAATGTTTACATTTTCTTTCACATCAAAATGTGTCATTTTCTATCAAATTTATTGAATTTTCATTTTTTTTTTCTTTTCCCAATTGCAGCTATACGAAACCGAAGGGACAACTGCCGGATTACAACTCACCAGTTGTATTGCATTGTGAACGCACTTCGATCGAGGACTTCTGTAACAAACTTCATCGTACCATTGCTAAAGAATTTAAATAGTTAGTATTACGATTGATTTCATTTTTTTGTTTTTTTTTTTTTTCAAATTGAACAGAGAAATTCCAATGTTTTGATTTCAAAGATGGTCATTTAGAGGTTCATGGCACAAATGTACCTCATTAAATTGAAATATTACTTGAAATAACCGTATTGATAGATTTCTTCATTTTTACTTTGTTTTAAATCATAAATTTGATTTCAATACGGTTTAAAATCGTTAAAAAATCGAATCGAATTATGATTTTCTGTAGAAAATTTCAATCCGAATAATTTTTCCCTTTAAATTTCGAATAAAACCAATCTTTTATTTTATTTCAGCGCTCTTTGCTGGGGATCATCAGTGAAGCATCAACCGCAAAAAGTAGGAATCGAGCATATTTTGAATGATGAAGATGTCGTTCAAATTGTCAAGAAGGTCTAAACTCAACACTGACTGCACCGAGACTATCAAGATTTTTGTCTGAAAATTCGTTAATTTGAAATCACACGAATCAAACCCTCAAACTTGTTATTTTAACAAAAACAATATTTTTTTTTTTAAATATACAATATTACTTATGATAAATGGGGCATTTCATTTAATTGAAACGATAAATTCTAGCAAAATATTCTTTGATATATTTTCCATATCAAACATAATTTGTTTGAAACAAAAATCTGATATGTTTTATTGATTAATGTAATAAAAAAGCAAGCTAAATAGGAGAAAAAAAATCAAATTCAAGTAGAAGATAAAAAAATTCACTTTCTAAGTGGAGTAAAAATGCAAAGTAATTTCTAATGAGTGAGTAATTAAGCGATCGAAGAGTGAGAGAGAAGAGAAACGATTGAAAAAAGGCCGACTTTAGGATCGTTTGTAAAACTGGGCAAACTCGTCGGCATTTAATTAGTTTGATAATTAAAGTTATGAATGGCATTTTTCATGTGGTTTTTCTGGTTTCACATGGCAAAAATGTTGCGATCGCTTTGTCGCATTTCTGCACAATTTGTTAATAGCATGCAACTATGTATGTGTGTGTGTGTGTGTGTGTGTGTGTGTGACAGAAATAATCCGAAATTTGACCGATTTTTATACCTTTTTCAATTGCATTCGAATTTTTGCCTGAAATAATTTTTTTTTATGGCGCCACATTTACTCGTCATTACATCTCCTACTTCCATACGAATATTCCAATGCTATAATGAATTAACAATTTTCGTTTAGGTGTTATTCCAAAAGTGGTCTCTCTGATGTAAACACCAAATAAGACAGTGTTTTTGTTTCATTTAAAAAAAAAAGTAAAATTTATTACGAATTTCGTCTAAAAAATTCATTAAAATACTTTTCAAAATCTTCTAAAAACTCTTTCGAAGAGGAATCATATATTGAATTTGATACGCAAATAATGTGCCAAAATGTTTAGAATAAATAAATTGTTGATTTGTTGTACGGCATTTGTGCTGTTACTGAATTGGAGTGTGAGTGGCGATTATATTGTGCCGCCAGTACGAGAATTGTGTCCATGTTTGCCGCGCAATATTTGCCCTCGACCGTATGGCATGTCGCCAATTGTAAGTACATAAACGATAAATTATCGCTATTTCTCTTTCGCTGTTCGTGCTAATTTTGTGTAATTTCATCAGGATGCATTTTATCTGGGTACAATTCTGAAGTGTGCACAAGACGATCACGTGCGTTGCTGTGGTGTATCGGTTGAGAGTGTGGTTGGTGGCAAAACAATTACTGAATCAACGACCATAGAAACTTCTTCAGTGGCGCCAGTGGTCAACTCTGAATCGACAAATGAATTAGCAACTATCTCAAGTGGATTGGATGTGAATGAAGAGCTCAGCGAATCGAATCAATCACAAACTACTTTGGCTAATGAAGTTGCGAGTGAACAATCGAATGATACAATAGTACCAACTGATGCCATTGTACCAAGAATTCAAGTGCCACGAAAACCAGACATTTATCAAATTTTTCCAAGCAAAGAATTAGAAGTATCAAATCCAAACGATGTAATAGTCAACCCGAAGGCACCATTTATGGTGGTATTAGCTGAGGGAAATGTAGCAGAACAACAGGAAGAAAGTAAGGAAAGCAACGATGTGGCTAGCACTGAAGAAACAGTGGATTTTAAGTCTATCGAACCACCAAAAGTAAATACAGATGCAACCATTGAATTGAAGGCCAGTGAATCGAAAATGGACGATATTGAAACACCAGCAAGTATTGAAGAAACAATTGAATCAAAAGACACTGAATTGGGAGTTTCTGCATTGAATACTGTTGAAACAACATCCGTCAAATCAGATGTCACCGAGACGGGAACAACTGAATCAGAAGCAGTTAAAGTGGAACCTATCGAAACAGAAACTCAACAAGTAGAAACGGCCAAATCGGAAACTATTGAGCCAAAAACCATTGAGCCAGAAACAGCTGAACCACACGTAACTGAACCAGAAGCCCTTGAACCAGAAGCCCTTGAACCGAAATCTGTTGAGCAAGACGAGATTAAATCAGACGTAGTTGAAACAGTGACCGTTGTGCCTGGTGTCGTTGAGGCAGCGTCCATGTCGACAGATGAAGTAGAAAAAGTTGAATCGGTTACGACAGTGAAAACAATCGAAGTGAACGAAGAAAGTGGTACCGAAGGAACAACCGAGTCAAAAGCCATTGAATCAGATGCTGTTGAGGTAAATACATTTGAACCAAAGTCCATTGAATCTGGCACTACGGAGTCGGAAACCCTAGCGGAAACCGTTGAACCAGTAGCCTTCATAGTACAAAACAAGGAGTCGGAAGAGATTCAACCGAGAAATATTGAATCAGAAACAGTAAAATCGGATGTAGTCGAATCAGAAACTAAACAAACCATTGAACCAAAAGCTCTCGAAACAGAAACTGCCAAAATGGACACTATTGAGCCAGAAACCGTTCAAGTGTTATCTGTTGAACAAGACGAAGTTAAAGAAGACGTTGTTAAAACAGAAGCCGTTGAGCCAGTTGTCGTCATCGACCAAGAAAAATCCACCGAATCGAACATAGAAGAGGTCACCGAAGGAACAAGCGAATCAAAAGCCATTGAATTAGAAACAGTAAAATCAGAAACTATTGAAACTAAAGTCGAAGTAACAACTATCGCTTCAGAAGACGAAATAACAACGTCAAAATCAAGTTCAACTGAAACAACAACAATCGATTTGGAAATGGTTGAAAAAAGCATGCAAGCAATGGAATCAAATGTTACCGAGTCGGAAACAGTTTATCCAGAAACCATTACATCGATCGAACAAAAATCAATCGAGCCAGAAAGCGTTGAATCAAATACTAATCAATCAGATGTTATTGAGCCAGAAATCTTGAAAGCAATCACCAACCATTTAACGGACGAAATAGAATCCATTGATTCAACACCAACAGAATCAACACCACTAGAGGTAGAAGCAGTTGAAAAAAGTACTGAAGAAGTGCCGATAGTTATTACAACCTCTGAGCCTTTGTTACTTACAACCGAAGTAGTTTCTGAAAATGTTGATGCCGCAGTCGAAAGTGAAGCCGTTGAAAGTGAAGTCTACGAAGAAACGACCGTAGCCAAATCGTCCGAAAACTCAACTGAAAATGATAAAACGGCTACTGAAAAAGCGATTGTAAGTGAAAACACAGAAAAAATCGTTGAAAATGAAACGACTGTGAAAACTATCGATGTAACTGAACACAGTTCCGAAGAGAAAACCACGGGTGAGAATCAAGTGATCACAGAAAAAATGATTGAGCATGAGGTCAATGAAAGCGTTATTGCAATTACTACATCCAATCCAACGACGGAATTAAATGAATTAAAACAATTGGATTCATCGACTGAATCGTTGTTGAGCCGTGCAACAACGGAGAGCACTAACGAGTCTAATGTGATTACGACAAGTGTCGCCGATATGGACGCAACTGCTCCAGATCCATTAACGATGGAGGCAAGTAATGTGATTGAAGTACGTAACAATAAGCGTCGTGAATCAAATTATCAAGACCAACAAAATGAAACGACAAGTGTAACTCCACTTTCAATCCCGTCAAAGATCAACATAAATCATAGAATGGGACCGCACAAAAAACCGTCCGTAGAAAGTGTGACACCAGTCGAAGTGGTAATCGCCAAAGGAATTCCATTGCAATCGATTTCAACACAACGGCCCATTGCAAAGGACAACACGATTTCAGAGCCGAAATTTACTTCAGCCCATAAAATACCATCATTTAAGCGACCCGTAGAAAAAGAGCATAGAAATCATACCATGGAGCAAGAGCATAAAAATCATATCATGGAATTGCATTCGATGTTGTCATCGTTAGCAAAAATACCCGCTGCTCGACCACCATTTGGCAGGTCAAAAGCGCTTGAAGAATTGATCGCTTACGAGGAATCGTTACACAAACCGATCATTGGTAATCGACGCACTAAATCGAAATCGAAATACCTGACGAAGAATACCGTCGAAGCGGCGACAACGACGACTGAAGTCATTGAAACCAGTACTCAAACCGAAAAATCAAAACGAAAGTACAATCGACGTGTACCTGTCCGAACATTTAGTGTCGGCTCCATGAAAACGGCAACAACGACAACAACAACAACGACTGAATTGCCAAATGTGAGTACAACGGCTCGTCAAACGTTCAACCGACGAAGAATGTATGCCAAAACAAGGGCCACCAATTCAAATGAGTCAACGACAGTTGCTATGGATGTGACAACAAAACCAAATGACCGATTACGAAATGACAATCCAAAAATGTCGTTAGAAAAACGTAGGCGATTATTTCCAACAAGACGACGCATTAACACCGTCACAACCACCGAAACCCCAACATCAACCAGCAAAGCTGCTGAACAGCCACATCAATTAATGGATGAAATCACGGAAAAACCATTCAATCGAAATCAATACCGGACACCACAGCATCGCTTCAAACTCGTAACCGAACGATCAACGGACGACGATTTCACACAACCAAGCGAAGAGTGAAACATGAAAAAATTCGAAAATAGTCATTAGGAGAAAAACAAACAACGAAAATTTTACATAATGGATTCCGGCTTGATAATTATCATGAAATGTGAAAAATCTAACATTCAAAATTGTATGGAATATTTAACTCTATCGCAAAGCATTAGTGCTCATCAAATATAAATGACAAATGATTTCGTGGAAAATCTAGGTTGGAGTGAGAACTTTGGCTTGTGTGTTTAATGACAAAAACGGAATCCAACAACAACATAAATCGATTCGAGGCTTAATTTTTTTTTTTTTAGGATAGAAAACTATTTTTCAATGCAATGAATTAGAAATGCAAGACAGTTCTGGAAAATATGAAGAGCTTAAATGGTGAATGTAAAGGAGGAGGAGGGGGAGCAGGAGGACACATAATGCATTCGTATAGAAATCAATAATCGAAACTTTCAAAACCGAACACATTGAGGAGACGTAAATTTTAAATTTTTCATCGCTGCTCTATCTATCTCTTTAGTAAACCGACACAGTTAGGTAGTACAAGCAGCGATTCCCCGCGCGCACGCCTCCATTCGCCCATTGCAACCGCGATCATTTTTCAGTAGCATTTTTTTGTGTGTGATTGCAATCGAAATATGACAGTCGGTAGCACAATTTACCGACAGAAGTTAACAGCCAACCTGTATCGAACGTTGGAGACCCATTAGTTAATTATTCAAAACGGCAGAGAATTTATGTCAGCCGTGTATATCGCATGTCATGTAGTTTCATATTTCTCTTTTTATACACATATCCTTTTGTTCATCTATCGATTTATTTGAAAAGTTTCAACACAAATAAAGTACAAACAATGGAGAAAAAACACACACAATTTGAGTTTTATATTCATTTTTCTTTTGATTTGGATTGGAAAGTATCAGGATTGTTTTGTTTTTTTTTTTTAATTGAATTCATCGTTTTATCAAGGGTTTGAAATTGATTTGATATCAACGTTCTTATTCAGTTTATTTTTCTAGTAATTTTTCTATAGAAAATATCAGTCGTCTCTTTTTGTTTGTTTGATATTTTTTTGAAATCACATTAAAATGCAATTAACTGAATTTGCGGAGAAATTTGGCATAATATAAACCCATTTCTATTGACTAGATCGAGAGGAGAGTAAGTTCATCTGACTTTGTTATGAAAGAGAAGAGTAAGTTTCTTTCGACTCAAAAATGGTTAAAGGCGAGTATGTTCATTTTTGGCAGTCCTCGCGGTTTTCCACGGTTTCCGCGGAATTAATAGGAGATAACAACTTGGTGTCTTCGGCAAAGTTGTAGCACTCGAGGTCTTCTATAACATTGCTGAAGTCAGTTATCTCTTATCTCTTATCAGTTCCGCGAAAAGCGCGAAAAATGATAAGAAAAAAAAAGTTCTATATAAAATTTGCTTTTTTATGTACGCGATTTGCGCGCAACTGATCAGAGATAAGAGATAAATGTCTTCAGCAATGTTATAGAAGACTTCGAGTACTACAACTTTGTCGAAGACACCATGTTGTTATCTCCTATCAGTTGCGCGAAAACCGTGAAGACCGCAGAGGCTAGACGGTACTACAACATACTCTACTTTAACGCCAACAGAATCATCAGAAAACATACTATCCTCTTTCAAAATATATTAGAATTTTTTCACATACTCTCCTCTCGATCTAGTCAATAGATTTGGCATGGGTTTCACTCAACTTTGTACGAAAACAAAAATTTCTTCAATTTTTCTTTGTCTTCAAATTTGAATTAATGTTTTTCTTCAAATAGTCCATCAATTTTTCTTTAAATATATCAATTGATCCATTCAATGGACTTTAATCGATTAACATCAAATTGATTCATTGAAGAAAAAAAAATCCACAAAAATGACATGAATATTCAGAAAAAATATATGACAATCGATGGGCTCTAATCACTTACATTCATAGGTATACGAAAATGCTCAATAAAATAATAATAGTACCGCAGCATGTTAATGGAATCGATTCAATTGGTGCTACACACCTATCAAATTGTACATGTTTAGGCAAAGTCATCAAAAATGTTCCATAATTTTCGGTATTGCTTATATTGCGATCTAATCAGTTCTTATTTCAAAGAAGAAAAAAATCCCTATGTACCTGGTATATTTGCCATATATGGAAAGTGTAGTATATATGTCATGAATTGAAGTAGAAAATTCAAATTCAAATCGTTTGGTTGAAACCCAAACAATTATATGCCATTCGGCAAAAGACAAAGACAAATAATTGCGCTATAGATACATAGGTACGTTCGATTCCAAAAAAAAGAGAACATAATCCGAATGGAAAATGTTCAAGCTGAATTAACATTTGTGATTTGGTGGTTTATCGTTATGAAAAGGCGCATTTGAAATATGGTGTTCTATGTTTGTGCGAGCCGGGAGGAGGGAGTTGAATATTTGATGAGATAATGAGTATTCGTGGAATAGAGTTCTATTCGGTTCGTTTGTTCTATCATCAGAATACGGGCTCAGAAAGGAGAACAGAATATTCGAGAGACATCGTTTTCACAGTCGCAATGTAAATTATTATGAATTTTCTATGGATTTTTGTAATGAGACCGAAAACTGCAATTACAGCCGAAAAATGTCCAATTCAAAGAAGAAGTCGGCTATCTCCGATGTTGTGGTCGATGTGGCGGGAATGGTGGACAGCGACACGGCAGGCGAAGAGGGACAAAAACAACAACCTACCGAAAAAAAGGCTTCGATTGGCGTCGATTTCCCTTAATTGAACGTTCGTTACACGAAAATCGTATGATATTTCATCAGTCGTTTAAGTTATCATGCATTTTTTAAAACCGACACACCAGCACGGTAAAAAGCAGTGTCCATCGGTTACACTACACACAATAGCAACGGTGTTTGACGAGAATCGAGCCAAATGACGCATCGCATGTCTTGTACATCAAACGAATTGAATGTGAAAACTATGAAAAATATTGTGAAATTCATAAATTCAATGGTGTTGTTGGTGCTGCTGCTGTCCGCTCACTTGCTCGTTCGTTCACATTGTGTGTTTTAGAAGTACAAAGCACAAAAAACAACACAATAAACGATTTGTTTGCATCATTCAGTTACCATATCAATGTGAATCGTGCTCGTCGACCAATCAGCGTTCACCACATAATTCTCAAATCCATATCGCGCTACACTCGTTCGACAGTCACATGTGTTCGAGCGTAATACAACAACAAGACAATGCCAAACTCTCCAATCCACATCACCAATACCAACGACACGGTGACGTTCATCGCCACCAATACATGCACATCGTTGTTTCGAGAAATTACTCGTAGCGTAGTGTGTACGTACGTACATTCTCGTTTGTTGGCTGCTGTTACGAACTCAGTTGAAAATAGTAACACGCAAAAATGAGACACACAAAATCGGTTTAGCTGTGTTTAATACAGGAAATAAAAAATCAAAGAAGTTTTCAATCAACATAAACCATCGAGGAACAATGGTCATTCAAACGGGATAATTCTAACAAATCGGACGTGTTTTGATTTTATTTCCAAATCACATTTCAAATCGGATTTACAGTGGAAATTTATTTTGTTCATTTCCTTCAGTCCAGATAAACTGACCTTAAAAACGTCACAGTTTTTCTCGTTTTATTATCATGAGTGACTAATTCTTACAACATTTTTTTTTCGAAAAAAAAAAAAATCATCGACCAGTTGAATTTCACGAGTTTTTCTTTAATTTTTTATTGAAATTCGGTGATTTCGAATTTTTTTTTTTCTACTTAATTAAATCGCGATTTTTCTTTCTTTTGAAATTTTACCAACGAAACAAATAAATATGAGTGCAAACGTTTTGATGACTCTACCGAAATATGTGCCCATTCCCAATAAGAATGGGCTCCCGATCTCGGCTGATCCAATCGAAAGTTTTATGGGTTGCGGCAAAAAACGACGTTTGGATCATTTGACATGGGAAGAAAAATTACAACGAAAGTAAGTACAATATTTTCGTTTGCAACGCAATTTTTTTTATCTTCTGCTCTTCTTCGTCTTCTTCGGTGACTTGTTTATTTTGTTTTGAATTTGCACGTAGACCCAAGCTATTATCAACATTCCATTTGCACACACCATTCGAAATTTTAGTTTTTCTTCTTATTTTATCTTGGTTTTTCAATTTATTTTGTGATTCGTCTGTTTGTTCAAGTATTAAGAGTTTCAGAAAGAATTAAAAAAATGGAATGTTCGGATAAGATGTGGAGTATATCGTGTAAAATTCAGTCGAAACGATAACGAAACGAAACGAAAAACAAAAAATGTAGAGCAAGTGTAATGAGGGCTGTGTAAACAGCAGCAGTATGGGAAGCTTGCCATATGTTTTCAGTGTTAGTTAAATATTCAAGTCGCTTCGACTCTATTGTGACGACGTAATACTAATCAGAATGTTTTTTTTCTTCCTTTCTTTTTTTCTGTTTTCCCCTTCGATTTTTCCCGTCATTTGAAACACAAAACGAACAAAAAAAAAAATTTAGAAAACTAAAGAATCGCGTTGCCGCTCAAACATCACGCGATCGGAAAAAGGCCAAAATGGATGAAATGGATCAAACGGTCAAACAATTGATGGAGGAGAATAATAAATTGAAGGAGCAATTCGAACGTTTAACCGCCGACAATGAGGAACTGCTCAAGCGAAACATCGAATTGGAGCGAAGCTTGGAAGATTTGCAGAGCCATCGTTTGATGGATTTGGGCGAATCGACCGCACAAATGTCACACAAACAACAGCAACAACAACAGCCAAATATTAAAGTCGAGTCCGCATACGATGCAGCAGCATTGTGTGATCGTTGGATGGGCTGTGGTATCATAAATAATAATGGATCTGCCGTATCCTCATACCCTCTGCCGAAGGGATCTCAAATGAAACCACAGTCGATGCGACGCTCAGACAGCACATGCAGCAATTATATGATGACCCAACAACAGCAACAACACCAGCAGACATTGACACCACCGTCGACACCGCCGCCAGCCCATCAAGCATCGCATCCGTTCGAATCAAACAAGAGAGCCAACAACAACAGCAACGGTCCGCATGCATCGTCAACGGACGAAATGCCAGTGAACCTCAAAAGCAATTCCGATTCAGCTGCTCTATGGAAGATTGTGGCTCTTTGCCTTCTCTACAGGACATGCTCGAAGATTTCGATGCCAGCCGATTGGAAGAGCTTGCCGAAAGTCTACTCGCAGATGTCACCACAGAGTTTGAAGACGATGCTAAAGAAGGCGGCCACCGAATTGCCCAAATTGAAGGCAAATCAAAGCCAATGTTTAGACCAATGGTGGGGACCCAAACAAAAGACCTGGAATCCAGCGAAAATACCTATGGAAGCCTGAATACGCCAACACATCAACCGTCAATGATGCGTACAATCAAACAGGAGACCGTTGATTGTATGCCATCCGATGATGATCTGTACGTATCAACTGCACCAATCGCACCCGCCCATCACATGCAATCAATGCAAATGCATTTTGAGCACACACCGTTCGATCACAGCGAGCAATTGTTTGACGACAACAACAACAGCAACAACAGCAATGATAAAAACACAACCATTACTAATGCGAATCACATCTGTAGCACAGATAAATCTATGATATTATGCCAAAGCGCCAGCGACAATTCAACGGACACCGACACACTGTATGAAACCACGACATTCAACGACGACGAAGGGAACGTGATCACCGTCATTCTACCCGACGAGGATATCAGCAATTTCGAAGAAGTTATCGAAGAGATGAACCAAAATGACGAGGAAGATGACTGCATGTCGCATTTATCGGCATTATCGCCAATACCATCCAATGCCAACTATGATGCATCACCGGGAGGCTATAGCCTGAACAGCGGTGACGATGCCGCCGCTGTTTCTGATCATGACAGCGCCTATGATTCGGTCGTTAATTCACCGCCCGGTAAAATATCATCAGCATGGTCAACCACTTCCTCCGTCAATTGCATCGACGACGATTATCGATACTACGATTACTGGCCACAAGATTCATTTTCCGTGCTATTTCCTTCATTGGCTTAACTGATAGCCATGAGTTCGAGATTGCGTTACATTGCACACCACTATTCGATTCGAGCACATCGTTCATCGGCTAGTGTGCAGCGTAACACAACATCGGGCCAACTATGAAGAAATCACACAACCTAAGCACACACACAAAAACGGGAAATTGTACAGTTTTCTTTTCCTCTTCTCATTCAAACACCATAATTTCTTTCGAATAATTTCTTAAGTGAATTTTTAAACATTTAAGTTGCCCTTTTCGTTGTTGTAATTTAATATCTTTAAGCAATTTTTTTAAGAATTCATTCATTGATATTAATATAGAATTTTGGTTTTGTACTCGACGTGTAAGCTTTTAGTCCGATAAGTTAAAAGAAGACAAAAAACAGAGTTAATTAATCTGAACTTAGACTTAATTTATTTTCTTAATTAAGACTACTTTTAACGCATTCAACATCAATGTAAACTGTAGATCAAGTTATCTTTATGTCGCTTCATTTTGTAGAATATCATAGATTTATTTGGATTTTGATCTTTTGGTAGAAAAAATATACAGCTTAAATGCGCACGTTATGTTACAAGGATAATACATACCTTTATGCACCATGTATCAATTTTTAATATCAGTTCATTACAATAGAACTTGAATTTGAAAATAAAGATATCCAACAAAAACAACCGCAATTTTGAACAATGTTTATATTTATGGTTGCAAAAAAAAAAAAACATTTCAGCAGTTTTTTTTTACAGATATTGGACGGTAATGGGGGTAATGGACTTAATTTTTTTGTGCACAGATAGGTAATGTTATTTATTTATTTTTTCTTCTGAAAATTCGGACAAAGACTTTCAAATCCAAAAAAATGAACTGGTCGACAAAAGGCCTAAAGACAATTGAAGACAAGAAATGGGTTTTCAAATGATTTTTGCAAAAAAATTTAATTTTCAATTAAAATCGATTGGAGACAAAAAGAATGAACAAATTTGAGCAGAATAATTAAAAAATGATTGTCGACAAAACAAAAACCGATGATGAATTTTATATTAATCAACATAAATCAATGTTTTCGGTTTGAAACGTCTTTTTAAAATAGTTTCATCTCTTTTTTTTCATTTTTGTTTATTCAAATTAATTCTTTATATTGTACTATAAAGAAGAAACACCCGATTTCAATATTTATATTCATTTAATACTTGTTGGCAAATCTTTTCTGAATAACGGACCGAAAATCAAAAGAATTTCAAAAAGAAATCTATAAACGTCTTTATTCATTCACATAAGAACACAGCTTAATGTAATCAACTACGTTAAATATTAAGGAATACACAAGTATTTCTCCGGAAATGAAATAATCAAAGTGATTGTGTAACTCTTCTAAATAGAAAAAAAAATGGGTCTTCTTGAAATTATGAAAAAAAAGATACGAAATTCTTCTAAATTATATTTATGAGAATTGAAAATTTCGGGGCAATGGAATCAATTGAAGCCACTGGGGAAATATGAATCGATGAAGAAATATTTTCTGTTATCAAAAATGAATTTATTCGGTGGATAGACGAAGGAAGATATGGAAGAAGAGATATATAGAGAATTCTTCATTTAAGAATTAAATTATTTCATAATTTAAATAATGAATTGCAAATTTTCCACGTTCAAAAAAATGGCAGTTCCTGAATCAAGATGTTTGTCTTTTAAGCTCAATCTGCATATCATAATCAAAACCGGAAAACAAGTGCAAACTATAAGCAATTGGCATTTGTTGAACATCATAAAATGCGAGTGGCAACTTGTTGTTGAAACAATTGGCAAATTGGTTGAATTGCCAAAGGTAAACGAAAGTGTGAGGTTATGTGTATCGAGTAGACGTCATTGGTTTGAAATGGATGTGCTCAATTCTAAGCGAAGAAACTGAGTTCATCATTTCGAACCGTGCGTTCAATGAATCGTAAAAACCGTTGAATAAAACGGAAAGTGAAATTTTTGTTTATTTCCATAGTTCGAATGGAGTTTTTTTTCTATTGAAAAGGCTTGAAAAAATTGACAAATTGGCACACACACTATATAGTCTAAAACAACAATTTCTATTTGAATGCTGGTAATTGTGCGTGGCCATTAACCAGAATTTATGGCAATTACGATGCGTAAAGACATTTCTGGCATATTCATGTCGCCCAATGCTGTGGCGGATTGTTTACGTCACCAGTAACACAAATAAATGACGCGATCACCAGCGGCTTGCCAGAAAACTGATAGGATCTTTGATGCAAACCAAAATGCGTGTTTTGTATGAAAAAAAAAATTGAACGCAAGATTGATTCAAATTACATTGATGGCATGCGTCATATAAAATGCATACCGTGGATGCATGTGTGATTTTTACCGTTTTCTACCGATTTTCTGTTTCATTTGACCATTAGCATAACGCAAAGCAAGAATTACCATGGAAAATGCGAATGGTTATTGTTGTTGCTGAGCCTGCGACTGCTAATAATGCGATTAATTGCGATTATCCATTTTCATGATGGTCAATTATTGCAAGTTGATTCCATTTGGTTCGATTCGTTTCGATTCAGTAGCAAAGATGATACTCGCGCTCACGTCAACGGTTTCTTCTTGTATGCAATCTGATTCCAATGAATCCGGCCAAACGAGGCCTTCTATTACGTAAACGTTTTTTACTTCTCGTTTACCATAGGGAAAAAACTAACTGAGAATAATATCTATGGGTGAGATTGAGAGTAGTGTATGTTTAATTGACTTTGTTACGAAAGAGAAGAGCAAGTTTCTGTCGACTTAAAAATGGTTAAAAGCGAGTATGTTCGTTTTTAGCGGGTCCTCGCGGTTTTTCACGGTTTCCGCGGAACTGATAAGAGATAACAACTTGGTGTCTTGCGCAAAGTTGTAGCACTCGAGGTCTTCTATAACATCGTTGAAGACAGTTATCTCTTATCTCTTATCAGTTCCGCGAAAAGTGCGAAAAATGATAAGAAAAAAAAAGTTCCATATAAAATTTGCTTTTTTATGTGCGCGATTTGCGCGCAACTGATAAGAGATAAGAGATAACTGTCTTCAGCTTAGTTATAGAAGACCTCAAGTACTACAACTTTGTCGAAGACACCATGTTGTTATCTTTTATCAGTTGCGCGAAAACCATGAAGACCGCGGAGGCTAGACGGTACTACAACATACTCTACTTTAACGCCAACAGAATCATCAGAAAACATACTCGCCTTTTCAAAAATATAAATCGAAGAAAAAACATACTCCACTCTCAATCTCACCCATAGATATGATACACATTCCGAACGACGCAAACAATTCACAACAGCAACAGTGGTAACAACACCACATATTTATAGAGGTGTAGGAGTTTGCGTCTCTGTTTCATTTTTTTAATTGTCTATGACGCTTTAATTTATGTGTCGCCAAAGTGTTAGTTTTCAAAGTTTGCGGTTTTTTTTTTTTCGATGTAGTAAGCGAACATGTTTCATTCAGGATGTCTTGAAATCAGATCATCATCTTAACAGCCTGAGTGCCACATAATACGTCATAATACGTCATTAACATACGATGGCGCACAAACATTTTTTTGCCCATTCACAAATTCACACTCATGTGAACAAAAGAACAACCAAATACAAATTGTCATTGCTGTTGTTGTTGTTGTTGTTGTTGTTTTTTTTTGGTTTAGAAGAAGTATTTGCAGTTGCCGTTTTGGTTGTTGAACCATTTGCTCGCATCGTATCTGATTGCAATTGCAGTGCATTTGATTGTGTTATGCAAACGAAGCCATTTGTGTTCGTACACACAACACGATTAATGACGATAAACCCGACACACAAATTGGAACGGAGCAAAATGAAAACGCATTATCGCCGCATGTGCACTAACCACCACATAGCTTTCAAAATGAACACATGTGATTCTACTCTTCTCACAAAACCAAAGGCCAAACTTGTTTGGTCTTCATTCTCATTCGCTCTCTCAAACCGAATCGCTGAAGAGAATGTCCACTCATTTAAAACTAGGAAAAATGGATTTTTTTCTCTCTCGATTGCTAGCATCCATCGTGATGACCGTTTAAAATTTAAATAAGAAAAAATGACTCATCATCGACCATACATTAACGGGAATCACGCATACATTTAACTCAACAAATGCACAATTCTGCTGGTCTGTTGGCTTTGATCTTAATTTTGCATATGACACAATCGAAAAATATCTCTCCCTTTTTCCAATGACTCATCATGTTGCTTGCCCCTTTTTTGTATGTCTTTCTCTTGTGCTCGCTATTCCTATAGCAGACCAGTGCTCAAATGATGAATGACATACAGTTCAAAGTGAAAAGGACCGAAATTAACGGAATAATTGAAATTGATTTTAATCATTGCAAAGTTAATCGGTCAGTCAAAGTTAAAGTGACACATCATTACAAAGCGCCAGCTTTAGTTAAGGCTTCAAGGGAAAGCGCACGCCGATATGTGTGTGTTTTATCCAATATAGTGTTCATCACATTCAGTGGGCTTGTCACGGGTATATCCAAATGACGTGAATTTGTTAAAATCATTCGATATTGTATACAATGTGCGCTGTGTTTGTATTTCGTTTCGAATCATTTTGAATATTCGAATTTATTTTGTTGGTGTTGTCATCAATCTGGTTTGTCCGTGAATCGGAAAATGCAACAAATTCAATTGCATTTACTGCGCCAGAAGGTAGTGTTTTTAATCATCAACCATGCAGTCAATGATCAATTACACGCAATTTCTCTTGTTGAAGCCACTCTAAACCAATGTCGGGAGTCTCTAAGTGGTGTGAAACTTGTTGCAATTTATGAGATTGGCTTTGTGATATTTTATCCCTACAAATCACATCACTAGAAAACGGCGGCGCATATATGTATACATAATTCACGTTTAAAAGCTCAGCCAGTTTGACAGAGAGAATGTGTTACGAAGGGAGTGCGGGAGCTGGCAAGAAGAATGAAGAAGACAGAAAACAAAGTTTAAAAAATCAAGAAACTTGGTGCAAAATGTGCAATGTGAAGTGGTTTTTCTTCAATTATTCAACAGTTTCTCAACGAAAGATTGTTTGACTGACTCACATTCGAAAAGTGACTTCTCGACTCACAATCGGGAGATAAATGTATTTGTATTGCCCACATTGTTCATTGGTCGAGGCAAGTTTGTCCGAGAGTGGGATAGAAAAAGTGGATGATGTGGGGAGGAGGTTTGCATAAAAATCTTTTATTTGTGCACTTCACTTGAATATTACAATCGTATTGTGTGCATTGCCACATAGTATATACAACATGGGCAAAAAGCCATTTCGCTACTTAGTGTCCATGGAAACAATAATTGTTTTTTTTTTTCATTTTCCTTTCGTGTGTTTGTTGAGGGCAAATAATGCAAACGTGAAAGCAACCTGTTGCAGAGAGGCACGACCAAGGCCATTTCATTGTGAAAATTCAATTCAAATTTTATTCAGTGAACAAAATAGAGAGAAAGTAACGAGTTCTCGTTTGTACGAGATGGTGCTTTAACACTTGTTGGTCTCATGTTTAGCACTCTTATCGGAAATGGACTTGTTCTCACTGTTCGCTTGCCAACCTCCTCTCCCCAAATAGAATAAAATATGTCAATCCCATCTATTTGAAATCTTTCTCTGGTCGAAGTAAGTTTGTATTTCTCGATTTGTTATGAGCAAAAAGCGCACGTCGTGTGCTTGAAATTCAATTCGGGATATTGACCGAAAAAAAAAAGATAAAAAGAAGCAATGATTTAGTTGAATTGAAGAAACAAATCAGTCACATAAAATACATACAATCTCGCAGCAAACGCGTGCCATTTCGATGGGGCGTTTGAATGTGCGTATGCTTGCGTGTATGCCTTTAGTCTATGTGTTTTGATTTTCTTGCAGTTTATCAAGAGTGCTAGCGGTGCTGCCTTTTCTCACTTCGTATCCAACAAACGCATTTGGCGACGACAACGGTGGTGATGGCGGCCCACAGTCAGATCCATAACACATAGACACGAATTGTTCATTCGTTGGATCGAGGAGGAAAACGAAAGAAAATTAAAAACGGTCGCCCGCATCCACTACACGATACCAGACCTAACCAAACCAAACCATATCGACTTCAAACAATCATGCCGCTGTTGATGCGCCTTGTATTCGATGCCGTTGTACTCGTTGTCGCGCGCGCTTTCATTCAAATCGGCAAACGGCTGGATTGGTTTAGCTGGTTGTGTTGTTCTTAAATCATTGTGCTTTGTTTAAACACGATTCAGTTGTAAAAGTGCAGCTCAGCGAAACAGTTGATTTTAAATCGAACTCTTGGTCTCTCTCGCATCCAATACGATACATATATTGTAGATAGATACTTGGACAGTGGTATTGTGTTTTTTTTCTCTTGTGTTGTCTGGGTGAAGTGATAAGTTAAGACTTAATGTCCGACGATCGGTCAATTTGTCACATTTGCGTACCTTTTTTTTCCATCAAAATCCGTAGGATTTCGGTTGAAAATGAATGATTCCGGATAGTGGAATAACAAAAAATACTTCAACTGTTAGAATAAAACTTAATTTTCATTTGTTTTTGTTTTTTTATTTAAGTGCATTTGTTATGGAATCCACGTCAAAATGTAACTAAATTAACGCAGACAATTTCAATACTTTAGATTTATGAGATAACAAGGTGCGAATATTTGACGATCAGTTTTTCTGGGTCCCGTTAGCTGCGATCGCAAACTTTCTTTTATTTCATTTGACATTTTATTTTTAGTTTCAGTTTTTGTTTTTGTTTTTCTTTTATTTTTGTTTTTATACCGACCACGAGCAACAATGGATCAATCCATTTTTCGGACAGTTTATCGAAGCCCGTTCACTATCCATGTGATCTTCTATCTAAGCCAAAAGTACTAATCGTTTTTGGCCTTATATCCATTAATGAATTGTAACAATTGGTGCATATTCACACGGTTTCGAACATTGAGCATCGAGACATAAAAAGATAGAGAAAATCCCATGAACACAGAACGAGTGGCAGTAACAGAATCGATTTTCACTCATTTCAACAGATAAATGATAAAGAAGGTAAGTGTTTGTTTTTTTTTTAACGTTAACATAGCCATTATGCTGGTTTAATTATTCAGTGTTAATATTTATTTTTTCACAATTCTAATCATTCCATAACACCGAATCCATTATTTCCATTAATACACGATTTTATAAGGAAGCAAATTAGGATATTTTTTCCAAAAAACGAATCTTATTGATGTATTCATTTGTTAACATTAGAATCATCAGAAAAGAAAGTGATTTTTTGTTCAGTTTTCAGCACTTGAACTGGTGCCGTAAATTCATTATTATAAAATGTCAATGTAAAGTCATTTTATATATATTATTATATTATATTAGAATCATGTAACATATTATTGAAAGCCATTCACAACATCCTTGCATTGATTCAAAATCAAAGTGATTCGATCACAGTGTTCTCATTCGTATTATTCCACACGCGGCAAGCAAACATCATTCATTGTACATTCCGGTTGCATCATAAAGCCAAATTTCATCTGAAACATTCGCATTGACACCTGTAGATTCAATACGAATTTTAAATCGTATTCGGAAATATTTTTGGTCAAGTCTTTCAAATTATTTACGATATTTATCGAACGACAGTTTTAGGAGCTCTTCAAAACGGGACAATGTTGGAATTTATCGAAAAAATTTAATTTTTAAGGAAAATTTGTTCGATGGAATACTGTATTACGAGTAATAGTGTTAGGTAGTCATAAAATCGATAAAAACGCGTGAATTATTTTTCTTATTCTAATATAGACTTTTGTGAAATTTTGTAATAATTTTTGTAATTTTTGTTGGATATTGTGTAGAAAAAAATCAATAGCAGATGGTTTTCGTTGTTGTCCGCGTTTCATTTTTCATTTGAATTAGTGCTATGTTTTCAGTGTAAACTTCAGCTATTTACTTAATTTTTCGTCAATTCTGTCTTCACAATTTTTTTGGCAAATTATCTATGAGTTTCTAGAACATTCGAGTGAATTTGGCTTTGAAATTGCAATGAAAAGGAATAACCATTTTTCAAACCAAATACACGATAGCTATTTCAAAGTTCAGAAGCAAACAATATTTGTGCCAAAAAAACTAACATGAATTCACATTGATAAGCACATTGGTGCTTCTCATCGCCAGCTGCGAGAAAGCTTATCTTTAGATTTCGTCTGAAAGTGGGCTGATTCATTTGAATATATTTTCTATAAGCGCAGAAATAATTACTCCTTGGAAGAGAAAACTAACAAAATTGACAGCTTCCATTGTCAATTAATCAAGTACAATTCACAATTTCAATTGAAGAATTCCGAAAAAAAATGGGGGAAAGATTTTATCAATAGCTTATCTTCGTTCAGCTTTTTCCATCCTTATCGTATTGGCCATGTCATCATGTTGCGGGTCTTATACTCATCATCATTACGCTTATCTGATGCAAATCAAATTATATTACAAAGATTGCAATGTCAGCTCGATTTTATTGTTTCATCTTCGTTGCTTTTATTCATTTTGTTTTGGTACATTTATATTGTATAATACGATTTATCGACAAATGTTAATAACATGCTTCAGTTACCCTGATTTTAACTCCATTTCTTAGATGGCACTCTGGAAAAAAAATAGAACGATTACCGCAAAATCGAAAGCATTATCATATTTAGGATGTTTCAATTCTAATTCCATGTGCTGAAAAATGCTGAAAGCAATATTATATCATTCATTGTCATTTGCAATATTCAGATGCGTTCAATTTCAAGATCCAATCTTTGCTTCACCTAACTTTATCATTTTTAACCGAAGATCGAACAAAATGGAATCTGAGTACATAATTCAAATCTTAACAAGAGAAAGCGAGCGAGAGTGATAGAGAATTGGATCACATCTCCTTGTCAAGTTTAAACATTTAGAGTGGTTTTGAAACTTCTGAAATCTAGTTTGATTTCGCTCTTATGCAAAACCTAGAAAATTGCAACGAAAAACCAATTGATGGAAAAGTTTTGTGAATGTTGCACATTTAACCCAATAATGAATAACCGAGAGTAATCACCCGTTTATTGTTTGAAGAATAAGAAGCGAATTAGTTGCTTGATTCGGGTCATTAGTTCTAGAAAGGATTCATAATAATGAAATTGAGCTTGCATTGAAAAGCATCATTTATGCCTAATTGGCTGGCTGGTTGGCTGTATACACAGTCTAGGTCAAATATTTTCATGAGAAATGTGTCAGCTATTCTTCAAATTTTACATTGGCTTGGGTGTTTTTGTTTATCCGATGATGACGACACTGCATTTGGTGTGCATATTCTTCGTATACATGAACACAGTGTCTTTGAACGAAGAGGGCTCGAGGTAAATGTTATTGTTCTACAATTGCATATTCGTTTTTGTCCGTCAATACTCTTAACCGGTTCCGTTGAGCATTTCTGTCAAGATGAGACAATTGCGCGTGTTTAATTCGAACAAAACAAAAATAACTGAAACACATTGAGATTGTTAATGAATCTCTTTATTTCAAAAGTGCAACAATTATTTCATTTACGTCAAGTGAATCTGAATAACAAATGAAGTAAGTGGACATACACAAAGATACACATACGTCGCATTCTACGGTGGATCGGATTGCGACAATCGGTCGCAGCGCACGTGGGTTTGTCATTCAATAAAATTGAGTTGTAATTGTAAAATTGCTTGTTTCTCTCATGGATCGACCGAGTGGTTTGATATGTGTACAGACCAACCGCTTAGAATTATTGCTCAAAAGCAAATTCAAGGATTTTCACGAGACATTTAAATGCCACTTGATGGCACAGAACAAATATTGACAACAATTTGATCAAATACAAATTGAAAATTTAAATTCAGCAAATAAATGTACGATCTTCTTCCGATCTCTCTCTCTCTCTTTCTCTTTCCCACTTTTCTCTTTCTAATTTATAGAAAAATAATCACACGATGATTTTACAAACGATTGATTCATCGTAAATTTACTGCATCGATGCGAGTCATTGCTTGATTGGCGTAAACGGAGGGATTGAACAATCGGCTTCAGGGCAAAAAGGCTTTTTTTTTTTTCTTTTCAAAAAGCTAAATATTTTTGAAGATTGGAACAGGAATAAGACGAAGGAAGAAGGAAGAAACAAACCAGAAACAAAACCAACAACAACATTTCAAATGAACGACATGACGAATGAAGAGGGGCATCGAAATAAAGACAATGACGGTAGCGGTGCAAATACGAATTTGTCTGATATGCGTCGAACCATTTCAAACGCATCTGGAACACTGTCCAACCATCAACAGCAGCAGCAGCAACAGCAGCCGAACGGTAGTGTTGGTGGCGGTCTTAGCGATGAGAACAATAGCGGTGCCGAAGGGAGTGTTTCAGATGATTGTGGTGATAAAATGGCCAAAGAAAGCGATCCACTGCAGCCAAAAATGGTGAAATCCCGATCATCGCATAAAGTTAAAGAGGTATTGAATTCAATTTTAAGCCGTTTTTGCTTGTTATACATTTTATTTCATTTAAATTTGGCATTTTCAAATTGAGATAATCTCAGCCGTTCGTTGAATTCAAATTCATCGATGGTTCTTTTTGAAAAAAAAAAAAAAAAAAAAAAAAACATTTCATTTTCTCACTCAAAACGACACATTCAGCGATTAACGGTTGTGTCAATCATACCGGATCGGGAGCGTGAGACATGGGGTCAGAAAGCAGAGTTTTTATTGGCCGTTATTGGGTTTGCAGTTGACTTGGGAAATGTTTGGCGTTTTCCCTATATATGCTATCAAAACGGTGGCGGTAAGGATGTCTTGAATGTTCACTTTTTCTAAGACAGTTTTGTTTTCAAGCGTTTTTCTCTTACTTATTTCTCATTATTTTCGTAAAGAATTTTATGTTCAAAAATATATCCAAAGCGATAGCTAAATCAAATGATTTCTGCATTAATACTCTCATTTATTTTCTTCAAAATACAAACTGGAACGTAGGTGCATTTCTCATACCATATTGTATTATGTTGGTTCTTGGTGGCTTGCCATTATTCTATATGGAGCTGGCTCTCGGTCAATTTCATCGCTGCGGCTGTCTGACCATTTGGAAGAAAATATGTCCAGCGTTGAAAGGTAATTTCGAATGATGCCATGAATTGAGTTAGAAAATTGTTGTTAATTAAATAACGGTTGATGTGTGCGGGGAATGGAATGCACAATTAAAAGAGGCAAAAATAATTGATTGAACAATCACGAAATGTAAAACGGAAAACAATGTCTAAGTTCACGTCTCTTCCACAAGCTGTTGCTAGTGTGAATATTTTGCATTTCACCAACCAATTTTCTTGTTCTTTGGCAATTATGCCGTATCTATTCAACACCCTACTTGTTGACTTCTTTCGAATAAAAATTTAAAACAAAAATTGCATCAATTAAAATCGAATTTTCTTTTCGCGCCATCGTTAATGAGACCGTTGCCATATGTTACATCTAATATATACGAAAATCTCTTAAATTTGTTTCTAATCGGTGCGTTTGTTAATTTATCGAAAACCGTTTCCGCTTTAGGCAGGTGGAGAGGTAGACAGGTTCAACGTTGACAGCACAAGGTTGCTGCAACAGCAATATACCACACGCGATCCTGGTGGCACCGATTGTAATGTGTTGAAAAAAAAATCCATTGTAACACACAGGATATTACTATCGGTGCCACAAGGTGTCGCTAGTGATGATGCTCTTGCAGCAACGGTGTGGTTGACAGATTGTTAAATTATGAAAAATGTGCCACAGGTGTTCAGAAAGAGAATGAGAAAAAAAAAAAAACGTTTACCTCAAATTAAAAGCGTAATAATTGATTCATTTTTCCGTTGCACAACGTTGCCATTTCGATCAAACAATGTGAATTTGAAATGAGAATCGCTATGCAAACATTGAAAAAGAGTGTATCAATAATGAGAAAAGTCTTGAGAAAATAAACTTTTTCCCTAGAGAGCATCGTTGATTTTCCTTTGTTTCCAAACGAAAAGAGAACAAGGCACGCAGTAAAGAAAAGTTGAAGGGGAAAAACTTCATAGATTTGAAAAGAAATGAAAAAGAGAAGAAAAAGAGAATATTACGTTCAGACCCAACTATGATTGGTTTCAAAAAAGGAATAATCAATTGCATCAACAAATGAGACGAGAAAGAGGTAAAAACGGCCATGATTGAGTGGAAGTAATCAGTGCAAGTAGTGTATTGCTAGTGCGTCATTACATCAAGTCTACGGTCGAAATCTTGGCCGAATTGAAGAAAAAGATGAATATTGACATGGGCTCGAAAATGTCTCAACCAGATCAATCGGATCTATTTGCGCAAAAATTAGCGCATCCATTCGAAAGAATAAAAGTGAATGATTTGCAAGCGGATTCGGAAATCGTTCAATAACAACACAACGGCAAACATTTGTGCGATTGTAAGAGAATGGACTTTTCGACATAACGATTTCAATTTTTAACGACCGGAAAAAGGTTTTGCCTTGAAACGAATAAAAATTGAAATAATCGAAAACGAAGTTTATTCAGATGGTTTTTGTTTCCAAATGCACTGGAATGACTGTTTTCTGTGGGATGATGATAATTGCCTAAATCTATGCGATTTGAGAGATATACAACTTTCAGTTCGGTGTGTCTGCCTTGTCGTTCCCACATAAAAAGTGATGAAGCCAATAAGCCACGATCTGTTGCAAATCAACCATCTAAACTACAATGTGGAAAGCATGGAACATTTTTTCCTCCCCCACTCAGCGACGCACGTCACCAGTTGATCGGCTGGTACACAGTACATTTCACCATTCGCTACTTCGGTCATACATTCGTTCATGCGAATCAAAGCAAACTGTGGCTCGTGTGTACGGTTTACCAGTTACAACGTGTGTGCGAAGCGGTCGAATTCTTGCGAAGTGAATTGTCGTCTTAGTTCGCGCCTATGTACACACGTTCTAACTGGTAAGCCGTACTCACACTATACTCGCATCAACGAATATATGACCGAAGTCGCAACTGGTGAAATGTGCTGTGTACCAGCCGAAATTCTGGTAACGTGCATCGCTGAGCACCGATAAACTATGGCACGTGATTCGCCTTCGAATAAAGTCCATACATACAGTAAGCAACTTTCGTGAACAACTGGCGGTGGATTTTCAATTTTTTTCTCCATACCGTTTATTTTTTTTTACCAGAAAATTATTTTTTATGTTGGTATATCCACTGGGTTTTCGCTTGTTTTTTTTTTTTAATGAACTTTTGTTTCGCTCGATTCGAACATAATGGTTCTTCGTTCTTTCCGCATTTTAAAAGAAGAATTCTTCATATTGATATCTCCTCTTAAACGGAATTAAAACTCTTCATATCGCTTTTCCCTCGCATGAAATTTCATTGTATTTTCTCTCTTTCAATCGGCATAATGTCATGCGTCGTGTGCATTGTATGAATTATTAAAAATTATTATTGATTTGATCTGATTTGATTCGGTTAATTCGATTGAGAATCACGAATGAATTTCTTTTCATATGTGAATTTTCGTTGTCGTTCACATCTTTCATTGCAGCATTGTTGGTGCATTTAGATTTCAATAGAAATGAGCATCATTGTCGTTCAAGAAGTTAATTTGAGCATATTATTTGCTGAATGTTTACATTTTCCACTCCCCATCGAATATGAATGGATTAGTAGCAGCAACAGGCGGTTGCTCATTCTGAGAAGAATGCACGAAACTGTTTGATTTTGCATTCGAATAATTTGTCCTTTGTATTGCGGGGCCAATAGAAAATTTTGTTTTGTATTAAATCAGCGATTTTTGAATGAGAATTCAGATTGACTGCTTACTTTGACGATGATTCGCTATGGTGTTTCTAAAACACGACAATATAGATCATTCATCCTGTTCCATCCACAGAACACATTTAAAAGATAAGTGAAGGGAGACATTTATCGAATGGACAAATTGTCTCCTTGCAAACTTGAAGAGTTTCGTGTTCAATCAGACACGTTTTTTTATATTGAATAAATAAGCTTTTCCATCAAAAGACTTTAATCGAATGTCGAATTGATTTTTCTCCTCATCGGAGATGTAACCGGTGAATTGATTTTTACGAATGGTCGCAAAATCGACCTGTGGATTACACTCTATTTCCAAGTTGACCGGTGAAAACGGTTTGCCGTAAAAGCAAAATCCTTGTGTATTTCCTGCTATCAATTCGAATACGGGCGCTATCAATGTCAAGTTTATGTGAATGTAAAACCATGTGTGCTTGAAATTGAATTGGAAATTTTCCTGACGCAAAACACACGACGAGGACGATGACGATGACGACGACAACGTTACTGGATGAAAGGCCACTATTTTCATTCCCCTGACTCTGCTGGCTATAAGGTTGATATGTTTGTATTTTAAAGTTGTCGCCGCGGCATTGTTATCTCGATTGCATGTGACCTCCGTCTCAGAAGTGGATTCAGAGGGGAGGAAGGGATGGCCCCATGATAGATTGAATGACAATGAATGGACAAAAACCCGAGATGAACGAGATACAGATCGTAATTGATTTTACTGTTTCCATTTTTCCAGGCATTGGTTATGCAATCTGTTTGATCGATATCTACATGGGAATGTACTACAATACGATAATTGGATGGGCTGTTTACTATTTGTATGCATCGTTTACCTACGAACTGCCATGGACATCGTGCTCAAACGAATGGAACACACCATTCTGTAAACCAGTATCACAACAAGCTAATCTAACAAATGCAACAAGTCCTGCCCGAGAATTTTTCGAGTGAGTGAATTTTAGCTGAGGTCGTCAGTTTTTCGGGCCATTTACCGATAAACATTAAATGCTGTGCAATTGCAAAGCGTACGGACGTGCGCGCGCGCGCGGGCTCATGTGATGTAAATTTTATTGGAATATCCTACGGGCGAGAACCACACACACACACACACATTCACATGAGCACGCGCTCAGACGGTCGTTCTTGGTCGCTTTTCAAAATGGCAAAATTATTTCGAAATATTGAACGAACAGTTCTAATTCATGGAATGTTGTTTGATTTGCAAATAGGCGAAGCGTTTTGGAGCAACATAAATCGAACGGTTTGGATTACATGGGACCAATAAAACCATCGCTGGCAATTTGTGTATTTAGCGTTTTTGTGCTCGTCTATTTCTCACTGTGGAAAGGTGTACGAAGCGCTGGCAAAGTGGTTTGGGTTACTGCACTGGCACCATACGTTGTACTCATTTTTCTATTGATACGCGGCGTTACGTTGCCCGGCGCAGACGAAGGCATCAGATACTATTTAACACCACAATGGCACAAACTCAAAAGCTCCAAGGTTTGTCTATCTTCCATCTCTATCTCTATATTTTTTTTTTCTTTCTCCCTCTTCCATCCAGTCTCGAATCACTTAATGAGTTGCAGACAGATAATACTTTACCAATTAATGCCAATTCAATTGAAATGGCAGCGCACCAAATGTGGAATTTCAATTTGCAAAATTAAACACTGTGTTTATCTATTGATTCAACAGGTGTGGATTGATGCCGCCTCACAAATATTCTTTTCGCTGGGACCGGGTTTTGGTACACTACTCGCACTAGCCAGCTACAATAAATTCAATAACAACTGCTATCGAGACGCATTAATCACCAGTAGCATTAACTGTTTGACAAGCTTTCTAGCTGGTTTTGTTATATTCTCTGTGCTTGGGTAAGGATGCGGCCGATGCTTCTTCTGAACTTTTTTGAATTCATTCAAGACAGTTTCGATGTTTCTTCGGCTTGAAAACCGTTTGTTCAGAATTCGGTCAAAAATGTTTTTTTCCCAAAATTTTCAATGCAAATATAAGATTTGTAATTTCTTTCCTCCTATTCACTCACTCTCTCTCTCTCTCTCTCTCTCTCTATCTCTCTCTCTCTCTCTCTATCTCTCTCTCTCTCTCTCTCTCTCTCTCTCTCTCTCTCTCTCTCTCT